TAAAATCTGTTGGGCTAAATTTGATCCTAGGCAGAAGCATCTGCATTGTTTAAGGGGCTCTTCGGTAGGTGCAGCTGTGATAGCTGGCTGCCATGCTCCTTGCTTCAGGGTCTAAGGACTTTCAAAGCCTCCTTCCCATATCCTTTTCCTCTTCATCCCACCTCACATTTTGGTCTCCCTGTGTTTCTGCACTCACCTTTTTGCTTGCAGATTTGCTTATGTTATGTCTTACAGGAGAATTTCTGTGTTCCTGCAGAGTGTGTCTTCAGGGAAAATTGCACAGCTTTAGCAAGGAGAGCTGATGAATCACGACAAGACCGATTCCTCTGCAAATAATGCAGAGGATTGCAGTTGGGAGGGTTTCTTTCTTTATTTTTTTTTTCTTTTTGCTCAATTGAAAACCAAATGCCAGATTCCTGTAGAGGCAATTTAACCACGGCTATTACTGTGCTTGTGACTGGTTACCACCTAAGAGCTTTGTGATTAAAATTAGGCTATCAGAAGCAGCCAGTGTCTTGGAGAATTAGGGAAAACACTGGCGGAAGCAATTTCTTTCAAAACAAAACTGAATTAAATAATTTGTTTCCAGTCATACCTGATGGAACCTACTTCTCTGTCACTAGTAGGGTAAAGCAGGAGAGATATGATTGAAGGCAATATCATTTCACACAGTTGCAGCTGGTGAGGATTAAAGGAAGCTCAGGTCAAACATTTATTAATTGCTGTTAATGATCAGCCTCTCAACTTTGCAACTTCTCAGACTTAGTTCTGAGTTTCGTACAAAGCCGTAATCATGTAAGTGGTGTGCATGAACTATCCTGGACCTAAAGAACTCTGTGTTTTGGGGTATTTGAAAATCAGGGTTCAAACTAGAGCCTTTTCTGCTTATCTATACACTATGCATGCTTTTGGGTTTGAAATGAGATGACTCGTTTTGTATGTTGAGGAGAGTGGGCTAAGAGTGAGCATTTCAGAACCTGGAAGAGACGCCCTTGTTTGGATTTGTAGTCACAGCTAGAGCAACCGTCCATTGCATGGCTGCCCTAAATGCCATGGGCAAAAGCCATTTAGGTTAACTTAGTTAGGTCTGAGTACTATCTGCTCTGCCCAGTGGAGTGTAGAAAGGCTTGAGCAAAAGGGCAGATGACTGTGATGATTTTGCAGTGTATCTTTCTGAGTTCAAGACCAGTGCTTAGAGGAAGTTGGTGACTTTTTTAAGATTTAACTGTGTCACCCACACCTGTGCATTCTGACTACATCCTTAAGTCTAAAAACTTCTAAGATAACAAGAGTGAGGCTCACTTTAATTGCTTCTTGGGATTTGTAGTCAGAGTTGTGACAGCCTTGGCTTTGCCTGTGGGTTTGGGCTGCAAGTGGCAGACGTTCATTCAATGGAGGGTTCTGCAGTTTTCCATTCATTACTTGTAAGCACCCTTGTGGGCTGTGATCCATCATGTTAGAGATTTTGACCCTTTGAATGAGTGAGCGTGGTTCTTGTACCATTTTAATTCATTGTACGTTCCTCAGTATGATTTTCACTTTGCTGTAAGGGTTTTCTCAGCATCAGACTGGTTTTCTTGGCTGCTCTCCAGCAGGGAGGACTGGGAGGTTGTTTCTGTTGCCCACACAGAGCTTGTGAGCCTTGTGAAGCAGGCTCGTTGATGGTGTAAATGTGTGTGGCAGTGGAGCTGCTCCTGTGAAGCACTAAGTTGTAGAACCATTCAGGTTGAGAAAGACCACTAAGATCATCTATTCAAACTGTCAGCCCATCCCCACATGCCAGCTATGTCTCTCAGTGCCACATCTACCCTTTTCTGGAACACTTCCAGGGATGGTGACTCCATGACCTCCCCAGGCACCTGTTCCAGTGCCTCACAACTCTTCCTGAGAATAAGTTCTTCCTAATATCCAACCTGAACCTCTCCTGGTGCAACTTTCCCTCTTGTTTTTTCACAGTTACCTCGGAGCACCTCTCCACAACCTCCTTTCATTTTTTTATGGAGAGCAGTAAGGCTTCCCTGAGCCTCCTCTTCTCCAGACCAGACAATCCCAGTTTTCTCAGTTACTCCCCATAAGATTTGTGCTCCAGACTCTTCACAGCTTTGTTGCCCTTCTCTGTACACATCCAAGGGCTTCAAAGTCTCTGTTGTAGAGAGGGGCCCAAAACTGAATGCAGTGCTCGAGGTGCAGCCTCACCAGGAGCCAGCCAGCAGGAGCAGAGATCCACCACACACAAAGCTATAAAATGCTCCAAATGACTGTACAACTCCATTTGAAAGCAAATTCAAACTCGCTTGGAATAGTGGCTGGAAATAAATGTCTGGTGCCATCCTGATAGGTGGCTTTGAACGCTGTGTGCAGTGTGGAAAGGTTGGTTTCTGCCAGCCAACAACATTTCAGGTGTTGCTTTTGCTGTGCTGCAGATTCTGGAGGGAGCAAAGGGAAAGCTTCAGCCCTTCAGTCCTCATCTTGCAGCTGCTTTTATTTAACAGGCGTCTTTCCTGTCAATGTGAATAACAGGAGCCAAGTGCAGTTCATTATCCAGTGTATCACTTTGAGTCTAATACTAATTAAAAGCTTTGCCTTCGCTTCTGTAGAACCTATTCTTAGGAATTATGTAAATTAATTAGAATTTTGAAGAGGAGCGTGTGCCAAATCCTCGGCAATTCTCTGCTGGCTGAGGGGAATGGCATTGGGATCAGTTTTTTTTTTCTTTTTGCAGCTGCAAAAATCTGAGGCTCTTAAAGTCAATTTTAATGCTTCACTTTTACAAATATGTGAAAGAGATCAAATATCCAGATCCTGACCATTTGCCATGGCGGTACAATATCAAGGCTTTTTCTCCATGAAAGCTTTTCCGTCTCAAAAATGACATTTAACACAGACAAGCTTTTTACTTCCACAGCCCTTCTCCAAACAAAAGTATGTTCCTGAGTCAAAGAGAATTTTCTCCCTCAAAAGGGAGACATACCGAAGATCCCATGGGTTCTCTGCAGGAGTTTACTCTTGCTATTAATTTAATGAGAAAGATGTTTACATGGTATGCTGAATGGGAACGGAGATTTGATCCTGAGATACACAGCACATGGACAAGAGGTGATAGGCTTTTCAAGTAAAATAAACAATGTTAAATGTTGTTAGTTTTATGATTTTTCCCACTTGATTATTTTTTCCCTTTGAAAAAAGCCGTAGTAAAAAGGAGCCCAGCCAAAGAAACCGTCTCAAATGAAAATAAGAAGTAATACTGTTTTAAGTATTTTGATCTCAATCAACAAATCACATATGAAGTTGATGAAACTACTCGCATGTTTAAGGATAAACATGATTAAGTACTTTGGTAGATCTGGGCATATTATGTATTGAAGCCGGATGTGAGCGTGAATTGAATCCTGGATCTTTTGATGGGAAGATGCTGCAGTGTAAGCTTGCTTCCAGATGTACGATTTGCAAAGTTGCCTTTTCTTTACAACCTCACCCCAAGGATTGAGAGATGCTGGGTGTGGATCCTTGTGTAGGGAAGAGATATCCTACAGTCTAGATGCTGCCTTTGAAGGTTGGAAGTTCAGTTGGTGAGGTCTGATTTTTGCAGCCATTATCTTCTCCTAGTGGTAACAATGGCAATTTTGATAACCTTTTCTTAATGCAGTGCTTACACTGAGCAGCTTCACTGTACAAGGAGCCAAATTCAGTTCCCTGAATCAAGCTCTTATTCAACAAAACGTTGTGAAACTGCCAGAAATCAGTCTCCTGGCTTGCTGGGACTTTGGTAATGCGGAAATAATTGCCAGTAACTGGAAGTACAGCTGATGCTACACTGCAGGACACCCAAACTCCTGAATGTCTGCTCCTTCCTCAGCCATTAGTTCATCGTGGCGTTTTGGCCCATTATTGCTAAGTCTTCCTCAGTTTCCCCATTGGAATATACTTCCCTTGCTGTGAAACTGAAGACATTATGAAAGCTTTTTTGACTGCTTTTTGGTCGCGAAGTCGCGAAGATAAGGTAAGGTGAAGACAACTATTCCTTTAGCTTTGATTGGAGCTAGTAAAAATCCTTATCTCTAATGGCACCAGGAACGTAAGATCCCAAAATAGAAGTCATTAAGTCTACAAGTGAGAACAGTTCTTAGGAAAGAAAGTGTAATGACATACAACTTCAGATCAATAGAAAATCATTTTAGAACAAGAATACAACATGTAGCAATGAATGTAGATGGGAGTGACATTGCTAGCCTCTTATTAGATACTAAGTTTTCTGCATATATTTTGGAGTTCAGTGTGTGTGTGCTTTAAATATAACAGCTCTTCTTTTTTGGTTGTGTTGGCTAACGCATGGGTCATTTAGACAACATTGGTCTAAATGATGTAAATGTTGTTTTACATTGGTTCAGTGTGAAATAAAATTGTTACTTTGGAATTAGGTTGCTAGCCTGTATGCTAGTTAGACAAGGACATGAGGATGGGGTCATTTGGTAGATGTAACACATTTGTGGCAAGTGAGGGAGTTGAACCTGTGTTGTTTCTGAGGTTAGGTGCTGCATCCTCCTGATCGCCCAACGTTATTGCATGTAGACATGTTTGATCCTGGATGAAGGTATTGTGACAGGCATGTACCTGAACACAGCTGTGTATTTTTCCACTGACGGGTTCTCTCACTGCTCACCTTTTGGGTTCAAGTTCATTTTCCTGGGCCTTATTCCACCTTTATTCTCCCAGTTGGACAGAAGACCTTTCCATCTTATGGTGCATGAAAACCAGCCCAGGTTTTTATTTGATGCCATAGAAGAACCCAACATTCATTAGGACAAATCATAGGCAATTAGGTCTGCTTCCACCCACTGCAGGCACAGGAGCATGCAGTCGGAGACAGTGGACAATCTGCTAATCACCTGGGTGACAGATCCATCTGAACACCTTTCAGATAGATTCTCCAGTGTGTTGAGCCTTCCTTCGTGGCTGGTGCTGACATACCACCTATCCCTCTTCCCTATTCTTTCCCTCAGGACCATGCTGATTTGAGAAACCACTTTTTCACTGTGGGGATGAAGCTGGAGGCAGTGAATATGAGGGAACCGTTTCATATCTGTCCTGCATCAGTGACTAAGGTAGGGTCCCAAAAACGAATGAGGGCTGAAAAGACGTTTAAGAACCTCTTGACTGATTTCTACCACGTTTAGGAAAATATCCATGAATGTTCCCTTTTTCATCAGTTGTTTCTGTTGTACGAGCATCAATAGTTGACTTTATGTGCACTTATCACTGGGTAACACATGCATTCATCCAATGAATTTCATCTGCCAGTTTCATGCAGATAAAGGGAATCCCTTTTATCCCAGTCTTCTTTCCATGCCTACATATTTTTCCGGCACATCTGTGATTCTATCTGAGATGAAACAACTGGATTGAGGGCATACTTGTGTGTCTTATCCACACCCTCAAAAGCAAGAAAAGAGAAGGCTGTAGGGTCTCCAGTACTGTCTACAGTCTTTGCCCAGCTATGAGCACACTGAATGACTCTGAACTGTGGTGCTTTCTCTTGCCTCAGTTTACTCATCTATGCCTTGATATCTTTGGTGGAAACACAGATGTAAAGCGTTAGGTGAGAGTGGGTTGTTTCAGATGCACTTTGACTCCAATTTGTTTCAGCTTTGTATGTTTGCAGGTGTTACAGCAAATTTAACATCAGATTTTTTTCTTCTTTTTCATCTCTTAGGTTTTTAACAATCATTATTTGCAAGTGACCATTGATGACTTGAGATCTGAACCCAGCAAAATCTCAATGCTTTGCCATGCGGATTCCTTGGGGATCTTGCCAATACAGTGGTGCCTTAAAAATGGAGTCAATCTCACACCGCCCAAGGGTTTGTATTACTTCTCAATGGCTTGCAGCTTTTTTACTGCCTTTAAAACCATTCTGCTCTTTGCTGCAGAGCATCACACTAAGCATCTCCAGCCAGAGCATCTTTGTTAAGCCACTGAGGATCATAACAGCCTGTGAACATCTCTGCAAATGTGTTGTTGATGGATTAATGTCTGTCTGAAGCAAACTGCACTGAGGCATAGGAAATTCCTGTAAAACACATCTCGGTGATGTTTTGTGGTGCAGATTGCTGAAGGAACATTAAGAGTCATATTATGTTTGAGACGAACTAGGCAGCTTCGCTTATAGCATCCCCATTGGTACAGCCCTGAGCTGCAGAGAACACGGAAATCTCAGCGTCTCCTGGATTCAGATTGTATCTCACCAGTTAGCTCTCAGCTGCCTGCCCAGAAGCACATAGGCATTTTTACTTACCTGTCTCGAAAAAATCCCAGACGAGGACAAATTGAGAGCAATGCTCAGGTCAGAGCCAGGAGGAACAGCGTCCGACCGTGCTATTTCCCATCTCTGTAGCAGTGCAGTTAATTAACTGCAATTTCAGGCAACCACCTGCAGTGTGTTAGCAATATTTCTTCACTTGCAAAATGTGTTGGCTTTCTGGAATGTTAATTTTTTTTACTCTGGTCAGGGTGTCAAACTTCTGCCAAAAAATGACATTGCTTGAGAGAAGAAATGCTTCACAAAAATATCCCGTGAAGTCGTGTACATGCATATTTGTCTTCATTTTGGAAAGAAATATGCTGCTGCTGGTCCCAAGGAAGTGAAGAGGTATTCCCTGCCAGATTTAAAGGCCTCTTAAATTTATATAAGATATATACATATATGTATATATCTAGCATGTGCAGTTTGAAATTCCCACCAAAGTCTGGGAGCCCTCTGTGTGCAGCTGGGTATAGTGCTTCTGTGATTAATCTGTTGCTTTTACTGAAAGAAATTTACTCTGTGGATGTTTATCTTCCTCTTGCTTAAATCCAAGTGTAAAGATTGTGACTATGTAAGTGCTCAGTGGTCAGCATTTTGTTTTTTCCACCATGAGTTCCCATGCAGCTTCCCCCAGGCCACCTTATTAACTCAAATAGACCATAGACCAGGCGTTTCTATATAAAGGGCCATGGCTTAATGGTTTCCACTCCATGCTGGTACAAAACCTGTTTTATGGGGCAAGCACATGAAAGCTCTATTTAAATGCCTGCATAATTAGAAGTATCTGTAGCATCCTTCCACCTGTCATTACAGATATTTTCAACTTGTCCTGGAAAGGCTAAGCAGCTAGCAGGTATCTGGTGTGATATTCAGTGCCTGGGGTCCACCTTGGCTCCTCAAAAGGGGCAGGAAGCCTTTGCTTTCTGCTGTCAGATCAGAAATCATGGAGAGAAGCTATTAAAAGAGATTTAAATCAAGTAGCAGATAGAGGCATAAAATATACTGTGCTTCTTCCAGAGTATATGAGGGCTGAATGCCTAAACTGCATCTTAGGATCTTTTGGGTCAAAAAACTCCTCCAGCAGCAAACATGCACTTTGAGTCATGAAAGTGGTTAAACATCGGAATGATGTCTGAAAAAAAAAACACCAAGCAAAAAAGCACACCAAAAAATGCAGATAGAAAAAGAAATGCATCCAGAACCACACTGAGGTCTTCTCTGACAAGAGTAACATCAGCTTGCAATAAAGAAGCAGTCAGGACTGACAGGAGAGGGCTGCAACATGCCTACAAGTGGGACCAGAAAGAAGGAGGGCATTCCCCCATTTCCAATCATAACTGCTCTGAGGTGTCCAGATTTGCTCCTTTTTTTTAAATGTGCAGATTTGGCCATTCTCCTCCATGACTATATTGACAATATTTAGTGCTGCAAACATAGCTTTCCCTTTTGAAAGGAGAGAAATTCCCATGGAGAATCAGATGACATGGGGAAAAATACATAAGTCCTTTTTGTCTTCGTGGATAGAGTATTTGCTGTATTTTTTTGGGGGGGAGGGGTTAAATAATGGTTGGTAGGGAGTTGTCTGATTTTACAATTAATTGATTTTATTTCATCAGAATAGTATTGCAAATTGGGATATTTGGGTTCAAAGTCCTTTATTTCTTTAATATCTCTTCTTTTGCCTTTTTGCCTGTCAAGCCTTTGTTGAAACCAAACATGCAGTAGATGAGTCATAAACAGGAGGTGCAAACATTTGCTGCTAGAAACAGAGAGCAATTTTTCCTGCGTGGTGCCAAAAATGAATACCCATTTACTGCTGCTGTATAAACATTGAACAAGCACTGTTTATATTTACTGGGTTTGGGTTTATTGACCACTTCCCTTTGGAGTAGTAGTTGTTCCTTTTCATGAACTGTTAAGAGGGGGAAAAATACCACAGTAGCACTCTTAAATACAAGGCTTACTAAAGAAATGCCGTTTCTAAACCTCCAGTGCATTTGTATTGTTATATTTGACTCTGATTACACTGCTGGTTTAAACAGCTCTTCAATGCTGAGAGTCAAGATAGCAGACACAGTGAAGTTCTGTGTATTTGGGGAGCAGTAGGTAATTCATAGAACCATCATAGAGTGGCATGGGTTGAAAAGGACCACAATGAGCATCGACTTTCAACCCCCCTGCTCTGTGCAGGGTCACCAACCACCAAATCAGGCTGCCCAGAGCCACATGCAGCCTGGCCTTGAATGGGGATGGGGAATCCACAACCTCCTTGGACAACCTGTTCCAATGTGTCACCACCTTCTGTGTGAAAAACTTCCTCCTAATAATCTAATCTAAACCTCCACTGTCTTAGTTTAAAACTATTCCCCCTTGTCTATCACTATCAACCCATTTAAACGATTGTGCAGATTTGTGCAGGCTTTGACCATTATTACTAGGGTTGAGCTTTAGAGGATAACAGTATGTGAATATTATGTGCTAATGAGAGCATCTATTTACTTCTCATCATGAGGCTCCATGATGAGGTACACACAGGGCCAGGCTTGTTTGATGGCAGTTCTTGAGTATGGCCTTCTTTGAGCAATCCTTGTTGTGCTGCTGAAGTTCTGGTAAACTGCACTGCTGCCTTCCCAGGCTTTGTTCCCACAGAAGTCTACAAAGAACCTCACACTTTGAATAGCGCAGGGCCAAGCCAGCAGCTGGTTTTATGGTGACACGTGAGTCAGATTTTTATACCTCATTGAAACGTGCCTTTTCCATCCACTCTGCCAAGATTTTGCACAGCTCTCAATCAAGATTGAGGAGCTGTCCATGAGGGGTTTACATCAGAGACCTGAGAACATGCAAAGTGTGGGCAGGGTTTAGGGTCCATGTGAGCAGTGTACTCTGGCAGCTGAGACGTGCCCAGGTTTGTTTAATGCAGACATCTGCATTGTGGCTGCCTCCATGTGAGTTCATTACCAAAGCTGCTTTCAGAGTCAACGGAGAGCAAGTGAGACTTGTACAGGGATTCTGCTCCTTCTGAAGGAGGGCGTGCAGATCACCTGTAGATCTTTCTCCATTGATGCTTCAGGGAAGCCTGCTCAAGGTGTCTACACTGCCAACACCTGTGTGCGATCAGATGGATCCCCTTCTGATGCACTGTGCACTTCGCCTCCTGTTTTCCATTTCATTTTCTGAAGCCTGAAAGTATCTGGCAAGGAAATAACAAGAGAGAAAAAAAAGTAGAGAAGAAACAAGACAGTACTGTTGAAAAAATCAGTTGTTAATTTATGTAAAAAGATGCTAGGTATTTTTCATGTGAAAAATGAAGATTCTCTCAGTTATGGCCCTTTGTCACTTCTCTGTGCGTGTTTATTTCTAGCTTTGCAAACAGTATAATGTTTTGTTACTGCGTAAATGCCCTGCAGAGACATTTTAGGACCCTCTCTATCTTGCTCATTTGTGAGTGCAGCTGTTAAGAGTAGAGCTCGTTTTATCCTGGATACTTGCATTTTAGCAGGATGCTCAAGACTTCATGTTCAAAATGTTTTCTCTCTTTTGGATCTGGATGATGGATAAGTGATTCCACTCAGTGCGCCGTCCTTTCTTGCCTACAAAAAAATTCACAGTTTCCACTGTCACAAATGACTAATTCCCATCTGATCTTGACTGTCCCTTTTTGACTGCCAATGAAAAAGACATTAAGGGATGTTCTGTAAGATTGAGTCCAGTCTGAGATATCAGGCAGGGAGATTAAGGGGAGAATTTGTCCTTTAGATGACTCCTGAAACTTTCCAGTGAGAGTAGTTCTACAATAATGTTATTACAGCATCATCCCAGGGCTCTGGATAGGGAATAGCACTCATTGGTGTGAAACACTGGGAAATCCTAAAAACCAGATTAAAATCAGTCAAGCAATGAAACCAAACAGCCAAATAAAACCCTTTGCCCCAAGAGTTTATTGCTAGGTAAGAAATATAGAGGAGTAGGGATTTGGATCTCTGTGATAGGACTGTTTGAGTGACCCCCCTATCAATTACTGCCTCTTCCATTTTTCCTTAGAACAAGAGGCTGAAAGGATTATCTGGTTCAATCATAGAGTCATTAAGGTTGGAAAAAGGCCTCTAAGGTCATCTTGTCCAACTGTCCAGCTACCACCAATATGGCCCACTACACTGCGTTCCTAAGTACCACATCATTCTGAAGCCTTTAGGAACTGGGAATTCTGTGTTCATTTTCCTGTTCTGCTCCAGGTCTCTATATGACCTCGCGTGACATGCTTAGAGTGGGATTCAGCTTATGTTCTCTGAGCCATTGGAAAGTCATTCATGCAGAGTACAGCTGTTGCAGTGAAAAGAGAGATGAATTTATCTCATGGTACAAGGGAAGGGATGGATCAGCTTCTGGTTGTGCTGATTCTCTTCCTGTTGACCTGAAGTCCCAATTTTTAGGTACTTAAAGAATGGAGAAGGAGGTCCATGGATCCACCCAGAAAATGGGGACAGTAGTGCTTCTAGGTAATTAAAGGTTTATTAAAGCCTGAGAGATGCTCACTGGAAAGGGAAAATGAGGAAAATATCTGTGTTTTATTACTTCATGGTGAAGATCCGGAGATTTCAAATGGAAATGCAGAAGTTGTGAGTGAGTGCTGGAGAAATGCCAGCAGTGGTGACCTTGCATGCTGGCACTGCACATAGCACTCATATGGGATGGGATGCTGAGACACCATTGGTTGTCTGCTTGGGGCCCGTTTGCACTCTCTCTGGGACAGTGGCTGATGACACTTTGTTTTGTTGTCCTGCAGGTTACTCTGGCCAGGACTTTGACTGGGCAGATTACCAGAAGCAATGTGGAGCGGAGGCAGCACCTCACCTGTGCTTTAGAAACGTAAGCTCTCTTTTTGCCTTTGCATTGCTCCTGTCAAGACCTGATTGCTTGCACAGAAAAGCTGCAAGCCTTTGGGAGCTTTCCCCAGACCAGCAAGAGTTTGTTTTAGGAAGGAAGCCAGAAAGATGTTACAGATTTCTGTTTCTGAAATAGAAAAAATATTATCTTACTCTTTTCCTCATTGAAATCAGTTGGATTTCTTGCTCTCCATCTCTCTCTGGTTTTGTACAGCGCTTAGTCCAGGAGGGATCTGCACTGACCATTAAAAATAATTGTAATGCTATTAAAAAAATCCCATAAGCTGGGTTAAAAAAACCAGTCTCTTGATGTTCTACCTTGCCAGTAGCCTCGTTTTCATGCTTCTATCAGCTGAGGCAAATTGAGATGGAATCATCAATTTCAACTGTAAAGATTGGAAAAGACCTGTAAGATCAGTCCAACTGCATATCTACCACCAATACTGCCCACTAAACCACGTCCCTAAGTACCACATCACCACATTTCTTGAACACCTCCAGAGATAGTGATTCCCCCACCTCCCTGCCAGCTCATTCCAGTGCCCAACCACTGTTTCAGAGAAGTTATTCCTAATATCCAAATTGAGGTCTTATCAACAACTGAAACACTGAAAATTCAGTGGCATCTGAAGTGAACACAGGAGGATTTGCAGAAGAAAGCAGTGTTGTGAATTGTGGAAGCAGGTTCTTTGGGGAGCTGCATACTCCTTCATTACTACTCAGCAGTCATGAGACTGAATGACAGTGTATTTAGAAAAAGCAGAATGAAGACAGTCCAGCAAGACTCCAGCTGTGTTATTGCATGGTTTCTTGGAGGTGTCAAATGGATTTCCTCATCCGTGGCAGCCCAAGGGCAGCCTGGTCTGGAATAAACCATTGATTCTGTATTGGTGGATTTGAACACTTTTAGCAGAATTCAGAAGAGTGGTACCATCAACAGAGTTTTGCCCAAATCACAGTTCAGATTTCTCTACTCCATTTATTGTGCCTTTCTATGCAAAACCCTGTTCAAGCTGAGATTGCTGAAAGTGCAGAAGGAAATTGAGAAGTGCTGCATCGTACCTATGTGGTGGAACAACTGCTGCATTTCTTCCCTTGTGCAAGCACTCTTTATTTCCTTCTCTCTGTCAAGTAATGGATCTCAACGCTGGCAGCCTTGAAAACAGGCTCTGTGTAATATTCTGCAAAGATTAAATCAGGTCTAAGTGCTGTTTATTTTAAGGAAACGTTAATCAGATGAACATGTGTCTGTTATTCTTTCAGTGTTGATAACAAAGTTCTCTGCAGAGAGCTGTAATCTTACTGTTGTCCAGTAAGTTCAGTTTGGTCCATTTGTTTCATGCCTATGAACAGCTCTTGAACAGAAACCTCTTTGCAGGCACATTTTCCACCTACTACAGCCAGACGTGGTGCTGGAAGTGGATATGCTGTAGCTGTTTCCCTAGGGGGGATGTTTAACAAGGAGAGTCAGTTATGAAATGGATTGACATGAACAAATGCTTAGTAAAATAAACTCCCAGCTAACTGTTTTGTCATTGATTCTGTATAAATTAGCCTCCAGCAATGAACTGCACTGAAAGGAGCCTGTGCGATGATAAATGATGTTTCTTTGTTAGGCAGTGTAGCAGGCATTTAAACAAACTCACCCTGCTTTTCTTTAGTGCTGGCCAGTTGCAGTTTTTACTGCAGAATGAGGACTGGGACAGTCCAAGCAATGCTGGAGCTTAAGAGAGAAATGAAAGGGCACTGGAAGGGATGGAGGGCAAGGAAGGAAATTAATGAAGAGTAGCTTGGGGAACCTCAGTCTGAAACAGGTTTCCAGGGCATTTTTTCTTACAGCAGTGGTACCTAAATGGTTGGAACTGCAGATTCTCTGGCTGCTGAAGTCTTCATTCAGTGGGGGCTGTTGCATTCTTGCAAGCTCATTACTTCACCTTTTTATCATTTTTTTCATATTTGGAGAGATGACTACTCATTTGGGAACTATTGCAGCAACATCTAACCTGATTTTGCCTTTGTTGAGGAAGAGGGGGAGGACAGTGGGGACCTCATATAACCCATGGAAGATTTTCTTTGGTGCTGTATATTTAAGCATACAGATTACTGCAGTGGCAGTAAGTATGTCTTGCACCATCTGTATCCACCAACCTCCTGCATTGCTTCCTGATTTGTCATTATCTCTGACTTTCCATGTGTGTGATCAGGGCATCTCCATTTTGAACCTGAATGCTTTTGGGTTCTTCACTTTGAGTGAAAAAAGCATGCTGAAGTTGTTCTTCCCAGCAGACAGTCTGTTTAAAGCCATGTTTCGTTGTTGGTCCTTGGCTCTTTCAGACATCCTTCAGTCGTGGTTTTACGAAGAACATGAAGCTGGAGGCAGTGAACCCTAGGAACCCTGCAGAGATATGTGTTGCTTCTATCACTTCAGTTAAAGGACGGTTAATGTGGCTTCACCTCGAAGGTATGTGCTACAAATGCTTCTTGTATTTTGTGTAGTTCACTCAAACCCTCTCAACTCTGTCCTTCATACTCTGTCCAGTGTTGCTTACTCTGGCTTTACCTGTTTACACATACTGACTAGTAGTTGTTTTTGAGAATTGACATCCCCTGATACCTCCAGGAGAGAGCTTCCACCCTCCCAGCCCATATGGATGTTATCAGGGATTTCTGTAATGATGGATCTCTGTCCTGCTTTGTTTATGTGACTGAGACTTCCACTCACATTTCCAATACACTCTTGTGGGATCATAGAATCACAGAATATCTTAAGTTGGAATTGACCCATAAGATTCCCATAAGATTGAGTCCAACTCTCAGCTTCACGCAGGATCAACAAAATATCTGACCGTAAAGAGATTTTCTGTTCTCTTGCAGCCTCCTTCCTTCCTGCTCCTTTCACTCATTTTTGTCACCTGGATTCCTAAAACCTCAGCAACATGTGCTGCTCCTTACTGCAGCCATTTCCTGCTCACAGCCTTCTACTCTGTGTCTTCTGAGTCTGCAGAGAGTAATTCTGTATTATAGAGTTTAGAAAGCACACAGGGATCTTTCTTAGTATTGTTTTAAGAACAGTGTTATTTCTAAAGAGTAGAAAGCCATAGTAATTTAAGTGTTCAGATGAGTGCTGTGATAAGCCATAAAGCTGCCGTATCCTTGTCACAACATATTTTAATTTTTACTCATCAAGCTAACACAGTGTTGTTAGAAGCTGCTGGCTTCATCTGCAGTCAATATAAGAACTTCATTTTCCATATGAAATCAATGGTTATTGGGTCACCATCGGCTACAAATGCCATATGTTTCTTTTATTTCTGTTGGAGAACCATGAAAATACCAAAGGCAATTCACGTGGCCTATAGCTCATCACCAGGCTCTAAGATCTGTGCTTCTGAATGAATGCCTAAGGAAGATGTGCCGTTCCTTATGGTGCCAGCCAAAAGGGAAAATCTTGCTGTAACCCTTAATGCAAGTTTATTTTGGCTTTTCCTGGGCAAAACAACCACGAAGATGTTAATGGAATTACAAATCCTAGTCAAGCACATGATAGTAGGCGAGGAGAGTACTACAGGGGCTGGGACAAGGGGTTCTTGCAGAGATCCCACTGGAGATGAAGTCTTGTGCCTGTTCTGCCTGTTCACCTCCTTTCCTATGCAAGATGCTGAACTCTCAGTATTTTGGGTCTGGGAAGATATAGGAAGCCAGACCGACCAGAACAGCTTAATCTTTGCCCGATACAGAATTACTTATTCCTTCAGTATGTTCATTGTAATTACCCAGAAGTATTTTAGTGTCTGACAATGTGCAGTGCAGTTTGTATGAGAGGAAAGGTCTGTGATCAAAGCCTGTAAAGTTGGTAATAACATTGACATGTAACTCAAAGTGCCTCATCTATGCTTGGAGCTTGCTCTAAAATATAACAAAGGCAGATGTGCTGTGGCCTTTAGCTCTGCAGAAGTAGCATTATATGGTAGACAAGGCTCTCCCAGCACCTCTGCGATAAATCCCTTTCTCAGAGATTTATACCTCAATTACTACCCGAAGAGAGATTCCTCCTGATCTAAAGCTTAGCAGGCAAAATTGCTTGTACTTTTCATGTCTTTCGTAAGCCCCATAGTTTGGGCTGTCTAAAATCTGGGGAGATCTTCCTTTTGTATTTCCAGCATGTAGCTTTGTCTCCTCTGCATTTGTCTCTAGTGAAGCTCGCAGGTATAACTTCACGTCTTTGCTTTTGATAGAGCTTTGTGCAGTCGCAGTTGTGGGGTTTTTTTGTTTGTTTGTTTGTTTGTTTTTAATCTGTGCTAACTGGAACCAGTTGCCCAAAGCAGTTGTGGATCACCCATCCCTGGAGATGTTCGAGTCCAGATTGGATGGGGCCCTGAGCAGCCTGATCTGAGTGTCAGCTCTCAACCCAGTGTGTGGAAGGGAACTGGATGATCTTGAAGGTCCCTTCTGACCCAAGCCATTCTATGATTCTGTGTTTCTGTGATAACTGATTGCCTTCAGACGCAAGGTAGCTAAAGCTTATCTGTAGCCTGGTCTGGACACTTGAGAAATATTTTAGTTAAAGAGCTGGAATTAATGGATGTTTGCAATTCATATGTCACTAATATTGATGTGGAATTTACACCCATGCAGTCCAGGAACCTGGCCCCATTTCACAACACCCATTCTTAAATCATAGAATCATAGAAGGCCTCAGACTGAAAAGGACCTTAAAGATCATCCACTTCCCACCCCATAGCTGCCACCCACCAGTTCATACTACCCAGAGCCTCGTCCAACTTGGCCTTGAATGTCTCCAAGGACAGGACAAAATGGAGAGGTGCCTTCATTTTTTGGGTTTGGGAATCCATTGTATTTTTTTTTCAAGCTCTAATGATGGACTCAGCATTCACTAAACTTGCCCAGCATAGTAAACAAGGAGCGCTGTTTCTTGGGTCTTCAAATCAAGATGTCCCCCAAGACCAAAGAGAAAGCCACATGTTTCACACTGCTCCCTTCCCTTCTCTCTTTCTCTTTGTCTTTTACTCCTTTAATTTCTTAAAGGATGTTTCTTTGAGAGCTTGTAATAAAAAACCTGTGTGCATCTCCTTGCCTTACGGATATTCTTACAGATAGATGTTTTACACTTCTTTTATGTCTCAATGCCAGGAGTAGAATGATCTGTAGTAAAAGAAAAAGATGCAGAGGGCTGCAGAAATAAAAAGGCTTTGCTGCTGTTGAAATTCCTGTCTACAGTATACACTGCGTTAGCCTAAAACCAGGCATTAAAAACCCCACAAAACGCTGCTTGCAGAGTTGTAAAGTAAATGTGGCTTGGACGATGGCATCCTTTTTTCAGCTCCGTTAATACACTATTGTTTCTAACTGGTTATTTATATTCTGGTAGCAGCAAGACTCCCAGCTGCCATAGGAGACCTCGGATCCCACCGTTTATCACGGGCACATCTGAAGCTTTCATTGTTGCCCTCAGAGTTTCACCGTTTGACAGTCCAAACTGCAGCCGTAAAACAGGACGTAGTATTTAAGTAGTGTCGAGTTAGACGTGAGGGAACATTGCTTAATAAATCATGCTTTGTACAGTAGCAAAACTGTAAACTTCAGGGCAATCATTTAATGAGCAGCAGTATAGTTCCCCTGCAAACAAGAAGTGCAGGGCTGATTTGAGGCTATGCACATCCCATCACTTTCTGCTACTTTATTACTCATCATCTGCATTGTTAATTTTTACGGGTTCATTTTAGATTTTAAAGCTGAAACTTGCTGGTGTGAATTTTTACAAGTGATAATGTACATTCTCTGCACAGAGCAGGAATTTAAGGAAAATTCTGTTGTTAACCACTTCTCCAGAGAGGTTTTCCATAACTTTCCCTTTGAATTTTCCAGAGTTGCTGCTCCATACAATAAGATCTGTAGTGGAAGATGGAAATTCTCACTCTATTTCCCGTCTTTCTGTTCTCTGCTTTTCCATTGAACCTCTCCAGTCTTGTGGACATCTCTTGGTGTGGGAAGATGGCAGCATAAAACACAGCAAATGAAACTAATGAGTTTCAAACAAGCTGGTTTCTATTTACATGAATGAGTCCAAATGAAGCAATAAGATGTTGGAAGTGAAAGACAGGATTGCTGGTTGCCAAAGGGACGATGCAGTGTGAGTGAGGCCAGAATAGCTGTGATCATGTCTTACAAGAAAAGTGGTGCTGCAGGAGAACAGACATTATGCTTTTTTCTTGCTCTTCGAGGCGCTGCAGCTGTTAAAAACAAAAAGTTCATGTCACATCTGTTGTTGTTTGTGAGCAAGAAGGTACATTTCAACTGTTTATTCGGTCAGAATAACGTGATAGAACAGTTGCAGCGATGAAAATATTGAATTTTCCCAGATCATGTGAAATTTTAGTGGGGACCATTGATCTCTTGTTGTATTTAGGGCTCAATCCGTTGCTTACTCATTTTGTTGGATTCAAACTGCGCAGTGACCATTTGTTATTTCCTGATGGAGGTAAGTGGTTGTCCAGGGGGTGCCAACTGCTGAGACCTCACACTGCAGCTTAGTTACTCATGGAAGCAACTAAGTATAAATACTCAGAGGAATACCATGAAAGTCATACAACTATTACAGTTGGATGAGACACCTAAGGCCATCAAGTCCAACCATCAGCTCATCCCCACCATGCCCACTAACCACGTCTCTCAGTGCCACATCTGCTCTGTTCTTGAAGATCTGCTGGGACAGTGGCGCTGTGACCTCCCTAGGTAGCCTGTTCCAATACCTCACCATTCTTTCTAAGAAGAAATTTTTCCTCATATCTAACCTGAACTTCTCTCTAGAAGATATCCATGCATCTGTGCAGACAGCAAGGGTTTTTATTTATTTATTTCTTATTTATTTATTTAAATGCTGTTCTGTTGTTCTTTTTTTTTTAATTTTTTTTTTTTTTTTTTTAATCTAGGTCACTATAAGCACTGTTTTCCTTCTTCCTTTGGGCTTTCACACAACCTCACGCAGTCAAGTGCTGCAGCTCAGTCTCGATGCCATTCCCATCACAAAGTTCATTTACTGTTTCAATTACACTACAGGCCGTTGATGAACTTTCATAAGTGGGATGATCTCTGTAGTCATCTAGCTGAGCTCAGTCAAACACTGCTGCTTCAAGCAGAAGGCAGAGATGCTTTAACAGATGCGAAGATGAGGATGCTTGCAGGAGAAGCTTCTGATCCTGTGGTCTCTTTTATTAAGAGATTGCCTCATGCTGGCACTGGAGCTGTAGATCCTAGTGTGGATGTGGGAGAGCAGGAGGCATTTACTGATGAGTCTGTGCTAGTGCAGATGGACTTGAAATGAAATAATTAAATAGGATCTTGACTCAGGACCCAAAGTTGTTTCCAGAACACCTCAGAATCATTGAGAATATTTCCAGTTGGCTTTGAGTGAGATACATACAAACTAAGACAGGCTAGTGTCTCCTGAAGGAGACATCATAACCGAAGTAGATGAAATTGGTTTTAGGTAGAAATTTTCTTTGGAAACTTGGAGTCAGTGTTATGACAAAGATCATAGTGCATCTATACCACTCAGGACTTTCATATTGCCTGTCCCCTATTGGGTGATCAGCTCAAGTTTCATGTGCTGTGGGGAACATTGGGAGAATTCATGGTGTTTTAGACCTTTAAAAATGGTGGCTCATGGGCAGAACTACACAGAAAAGCTTCAGGGGATCATTAGGAAGTAAAAGCTGATCACTTTACCTACAGTTATATTATAGCCACTGTGCATGCTTTTAACAAGAACAAATATCAAGCTGTCCTGCTGCTGCTTTGCATGTGCAACTCTACGTGAGAACCTGTGGGTCAATCATGCATGCTTAACATCACATTTGAAGCTTTTGCCTGCTTCGCTGCACACGCTTAGTGTGTTCTTATTTTTGGTTTTTGCTGGAATCACGTTGCACTGTAAATGCAGCAGCCGTGTCATTCCTGTCTTTGCAAAATTGAAGATGAAATGATTCCTGATTTTGATGCAAGTAAGCAGATTTATTTTCACATGTTCCATCATTTGCTTCCCTCAGTTCGTGATGAATGCTCGAATGGCTCTGAGCGCGTGTCTAAATGGTGTTATAAATTTGTGTTTATAGGTTTACAGATGCCCTCTCCAGAGTACATAGTTGATGTGGAGTCTATGGACATTTTCCCAGTTGGTTGGTGTGAAGCGAATGCTTATAACCTTACTCCACCACACAAAGCTGTTTGTAAGTGCATGGAATCCTCAAGCAGAACATATACTATATCCTGTTATATCAACAGATTTATCAGGGAGTTTTTCTGATGTCTGTAATCCAGTTCTTAAAACTACTGACCTAGCTAGCAGACCAGTAACCAGGCTGTGAGCATACTGCAAAAAACAGTAATAAATCTAATTAGTGACCAGATGCCACAGCACTGTTGTTACAGGGTTTGTACTTGCCTGTGTGATCAATCTCTCTAAAAATGGGATTGTTTGCACTGGGAAAGGCCATTAGTGGTTTGGGATTGCACAGGGTGGCTTGTGGGTTTGCAGTGGGGTTGTCAGAGTGAAACAGCTGAGTTCAGTTAGGCAGTGGAATGAATCAGGGACACGGGACACGGGACCTTGGATCAGGAAAAAATTGAGAACAACACCCGTAAAATACAGAACCTGAAGGGACATAAAGAGGTCATGTCTCCCCTAGACAGGATTTACTCTACCTAATGTGAGGAATGTTTGCTGGCCTCTTACAGCTGAGTTTCTGCACCTTCCTAGGATATCAGTTCTGTTGTTTCCCTTCCGTTATCAGTATAGGGCTTTTCCTAACATCTAACTTAAATCCCTCTTGGCATAATTAAGTCTTGCCCTATATCTAGAGCATACTAAGCTTGCTTTCTTTTTCATTCCCCCCATCTGAGGGTAGTTCGTGAGCACTCAGTGGCTTGGTGTTGTTCTGTTCCTTGTAGTGACTGTTCAACCCTGATCTCAAGCCACCAGATGAAGAATTAGCCTCACTGTTTGTATTAATTAACATCTGAAAGGCAAATTCTAAAATGTGTCATTCTTTCGAAGAGTTAAATATGCTTAAGTTAAAAATCAAGCAGCCAGGGCCTAATTTGGGAGAACACTGCTATGGCAACATTATACAGCCTTGTCGCAATTTATGGCTAAGGATAAATTATGCTGGAGGTAATCATGCTTGTAAAATGTAATCTTATCCATATGTGTTTCTGTATGGAAAAATATTTGTGTTTTTATTAATTTTTTTTATGTTGATCCCATAAAACACAATATTAGCATTCCAGAGGAAAGATTAAATGTATTATTACATCTTTAAAGCAGGTTTTAATGATGTAGTGACTTACTTAAAAATACCAAGAGAAGATGGCAATGGTAATTAAGTACCATTTCATTGTGTTAGGAGTCATTTTATAGTCAGTGCATTTTTATAGCTTTTTATGCATTATGGATGTATTTTATAGGACAAAAGAGTACAAAACTGTTCCTTCGTTTTTGCAGTGCGAAGGAAAAGAAGAATTGCTGTTGTGCAACCAGAAAAGAAGTAAGTTGCTATTATTTAAGGAGATATTTTTATAGTGATATATCAGGTCTTCCAGGGGAAGTAATACACAGCAGCTTAGGGACTTTGTCAGCCCCATTTGACACTGTTAAATACTCCAGATTTCTCTGTAACAGGTTACCATCCTCAGTGCCTGTTGAGAAAATACCTCATGACCTCTGCCCAGTTCCTCAGCCAGACACAACAGGTAAGGCTGCTTGGCACCAGCACGTCCTGATCTTAAGGATGAATTGCTTGTTGGAGGGGGACAGCCCTACAGAGGGAGAAAGCATGTCATATGTATGGGGAGATACAGACTCATCCTCAGGGGACGTGTGACTCACAGAGTAGGGGCTCTGATGTAAGGGTTTGTCCTCTGCATGGAAATGCAGTATTTAGCTGGCCTTCCCCTGAAGGAAAAAATACCCAGTCCCCATAGTGTTTTGAAGGGTAGCTGAACAGTCCTTCTCCTGAATTTTGTCTCTGAGCTGATGCCATACCAAGTGAGAAGCAGCTAACATGTTCCCTTTCTGGCAAGCCATAACGGCGTTGCTCGTGTCCATCTGTGACATGAGTTATGAAATAGCTTCAGGTCATGTCATGAATGAAGTCCATGAAGTCCTTTCTCAGTTCTCCATTCAGTCGAGCGTGCAACTGTATTGGGTGCTATTAAAAATGTAGTTTTTCCCATGTTGGACAAATTTGAGCAACAAAGGCTTCTCTGTCTTCTATCTTAGGGAAGACATTTTGTAGAAGGAGGGGAGCTCAAAGATCATCCTTCACTCTTTTCCCATTCTTCCCCTTCTAGGAGAAAGAAAGGCACTTGATTCATTGCACAAAAGTTGTGCAACACACACATCATTGCTACTTTCTTCTTGCAGGCACCATCAATGGGAGATACTGCTGCCCCCAGCTCTACATCAACCACCGCTGCTTCTCAGGTCCATATTTAAACAAAGGCAGAATAGCAGAGCTACCTCAGTCTGTCGGGCCTGGCAAGTGTGTGCTGGTCCTTAAAGAGGTATGAGCCAGCTATTTTGGGGGGAATTTTGAGGGGGAAACATGAATCATGGGTTGCTGGGCCTAGAATTTGATAAGAGATACCTAGAATTGTCTTAGAGCTCTGTGGCAGCTTCCATAGGTCAAGACAGCAAGCATGGAAGGGAAGATATGTATATGCATTGGGATTTGTAGGGGGAGAAGAGTTATTTTTGGAACATGGAGAGTTTTGTTGATTGCTGGTGCAAGTTTCATCTATCTGTGTCTGCTATGCAAGAGAGTATTCCGGCCAAAGCTATGCCACAAGAGGATCTCTGTGATTGCACCCATCAGACTGTTTCTCCTGGCACAAGCCAGTAGATTTGTAATGGGTGATACCATTATTTGAGTGACCATGGGCCAATGGGGCCCAAACTATTGGGTTCCAAAGTGACCAGGACAGAAGCCAAGCACAGGTGTGTGTGCTAAGCAGAAGCTGAATGCCGTGGAGTTAATCCCACACACCAGGTGTGGCAGAGCACCAGCATCTATGTACTTCATCCCAAACAAATCAGTGCTTGCAATTGCAGAGCTAAATCTAGAGAGTTGAGTGCTTGCTGTTGACCTCAGACAAAAACTATCTTGTTTGAAAAAAAATACATAAAGATTTTTTGCACAGTTCTGTATACAGTCCATGTACAGCTGAGAGGCAAGGTGACTTCAGGTGGGAGAGGACAAGGTGGTTTTGTTGGATAAGTAGGATGCCATTGATGCCACGGTCAGTGGAATGGCCCAAGTTGGAAGAGACTCACAACGATTTTTGAGACCAACTCCTGGTTCCACACAGGACTACAACAATTTCAACTTGAGTTGGGTCTTCTAGAAATCCAGCTTTTCCAGCTTTCTGGTCTGTACCTTTATGAATGCTACCAATTGCTGATGCAGGGCCATATCTGAGCTCCCTCTGCATAGGCTGAAACAGCAGGGAAACTTTTAGGGCTCCATTTGTCTGACTCATTTGCAAGCCCCTCAGAGCTCAGCTCAGTGAGGTTGTTTGAAGTTGCCTAAAGTGAGATGGATTAAGTTCGAAATATGAGATTCCTCTCAAATCACCCATACTTCCTAAATGTGCTTCTTTTGGAATGTAGAGTGACTCCTGTGCTCTTTAATAACCTGTACATACTGCTTTACATACAGTGGCACTGCCAGTTGTTTCACATGTTTAAAAGCTGGGCCATGAAGAGAACCCCATAATTCAGCTGCCTGTGCAGGTGGATACTTGGATTTGAAAGAAGCAAATCAAAAATAGCCATCAGCAGAAAACAGGATAAAGTGGTTGCGGTGCAGAAGTTGGCAGCTGCCAAATTGGAAAGTCAGTCTGCAGTGGTTTGCTGATGGGGAGCATTAGCAATCTGCTGCTGCTTGAAAAACAGGCAGTGAAAAAACAACATGGGGGAAACATGAGGCATGCACAGTCAGTAGTTAAGCTAACTACTCTTCTCCTTCCTGGAATTTGGATTTTTAAAACATACGTAGTGCAAAGCTTCTGTGAGGTCCTTCCCTCATGTCTCGTGCTTTGTTTGCCTATGTATTGTTGCATTGGCTGCCACCAGCTTCTCCAGATTCCTCAAGAATGGGCCCTGTTATTCACCATGCAAACCAGCTGAAGTTTCCTACAGGAATCCCATTTTCCCTTGCTCCGACTCCTTGCAGGATTCTATGCTGAAAGAGCAAAGAGCAGTGTCAGAAAGACACAGACATCTTGTTTTTGGAGCCATGAGTGACTTCCAAAGGAACAGAGCCATGGCAATGGCCCAGTGTTTTGTAGCAGTATTTTGAAGATAAATCCAGGCTCGTAGATCCATGGGGACCATTCCCAAATTCTGGAAGGGCTGAAGAGAACACAATTCAGGGTTTAGCTGTGGAGGAAACACATGTTTCCTATCAGCTGCTGCTAAGATGAAAGACTTTATGCAGCTCAGAGAACCACGGGCAGTGATAAGGATGGGTCCCCACTCCTCTGGCCCATATTCAGTACCAAGTTTGGTGGCTCTGTCTCACATTATACCCACTGATGATGTAGCCCAGAGAATGCAAATTGCAAGCTGTTGTAAATTATGCATGAGCATAACTTGTCTGGAATAAATAAATTATACATGGGCTTTACTTTGGCAACACACAGGGGAAAGACAACCTGAAACAACAGTTACAAAGGAAGAACAGATTCAGCAGTTGTCTGATCACCCTGGTCTCTAGCTGTAGCTCTCTGCCTTTAGAGTTGTTCTAGTTAAAATTTAAACCTGTGCCAGTTGTGAGCAACTCCAGTGGGCAGCTGTCTCTATGATGGAGATGTTACCGTGTTTGGCACTGATGGGTTCATGCTGCTCCTCGGCCGTCTTTTACCCCAAAGTCTTGTCCCTTCCCTGTGTCTGTCTCTGATGCAGTGACACATTCTGCATCCAGCTCCCAACAAACTGGTGGTACCAGCCTGCATAGTGCAGTGAGATCTGATGGTCAGTATCGCTTGGCCCTGGACTAAAGAAGGCTGGGAGGTAATTTTGTAGTGTGAAGTAGTACATCCCCTTCCAGATGAGTAGTCTGGGCTATTCTCAAAGGGATTTTGAGAGTGCAGTAGCATGAATACACTTGTTTTTTTGCAGCACCTCTTCTCCAGCAAAAAAAGCATCCCCCAATTTCTGTCCAATTTGCTTTGCTCCAGTGTGTTGGGTGAAGAGGTTGTGAGCTCTGCAGTGAGGAAACTGAGGTACTTCCCAGAATTATCCCCCTCGAGCAAGATGTCTCTGTAAAATTGTGAGAGCAATTGCAGTTTATTTGGTGGTGTGATCAAAAATACTGGCTGCAGTTCTGCAGTTTGCTTGTGTGTATGCATCCTTCCGTCCATGTAGAGCCTTAGGTGAGAAGCAAAGAACTATTCTCATACCTGGTGCCAAACTTATTCTTAAAGCCGGGAGGTTCATTATTCCTGGTGCCAGCACAAGTCTCTGGTTTACTGTGGCTTCTTTCACCTCAAGGGGCAAGTGAGGATGATAACAACTGTTGTTTAACATCAGCTTCAGAGTTTATCTCATTCCTGAGATGCTTGTTTGGAAAAGAAGTTGAGATTTGGAGCCAAGAGACAGTGGAGATACCAGCTATCAACAGCTGGGCTGGAAATTAGTGGCTGTATAATAGCTAAGATATCTAAGAAATACTAGCTTTAAGTTAGATTAAAAGAAACACATTGTCAGCTAAAGGTTTCATTCTTGGGTCAAAATATCAGAAATACTTAGCGGTTCTTTCATCTATGTCAGCAATTTAACCACGAAAACATTATAAAATGAGATGCCTTTTTAAGATTTAAGATTATCTATAACCCACCGAATCTTAAGGAAATATGCTGTAAAGATTAATTAGATTCTTTGCTTACTGCTGTTGCTATTTTAAGACACTTTGCTGTTTTTCTATCTAGATGAAAATAGACTTGCAGATATCATGACTGTTACTGTTTTCAACTGATGCAAGCAGGAAAAATTGTGAAGGAAAGCTATTGCATTCTGCAACTTGATTTTTTTTTTTTTTTTTTGCAGCACAGCATGACTTCTTAGGAGAAATTTGCATAATTAAATCAAAATGCTCAGAAAACCATGTAGCTTGTACTGAGCCTTAGCTGTATAATTGAGCCATGTTGGTGGTGTTATCATTAGCGATCAGATCTTGTGCTAGGATGGCAGAAATCTTTCATAGTTCGGAAAGATATAAGCTGCATTTCTGCAAGCATTGGGTTCACTAGCGTTGTCCTCAAGAGTGCTTCATGGGCACAACTCACTGATAATGGATCTTCCAACTTGGATCTGGCTGTATTTTTGAAATTTCATAGGCTGTCATAAGCACATCAGCACTCATTTGCTACTTCCCGTGTGTGGCGAAAGTGCAGTTCTAGGTGCTTGATCATTTAACTTAAAAATCCCAAATAGTTCTTCTTTCCTTCTTTGCCACACAGCTATGTCTTTATTTCAAGTAGAATAAAACAACTTTAGCTATTTCGTCTGAGGTTAGTCTGGGAGTTAGTGTCTCTCCTGTTAGTTATGAGAAGTGGGATCACATCTTAGATAGAGGAAGGAAACTGACTTTCTCCTCATAAGGATGATGGCCAATGGGCTCTTGAACAGGAGGAGAGGCTTAGTGCTGTTTTGTGATATCACCTCTTGGTGCTGTTTCCTGAAAAGCTTCATCCAGGATTGGGATCATTAATGAAGAGGGGTTGAGTGATGGGTAATGTGAAAATCACAACCAATCCATGATGCAAAGAATGGTGCTGAGTACCCAGTAGCAGCAGGCACTTCTAGATATCCTTAGTAAAGGCACTTGTGCTCTTGGTGTGGGAAAGCTGAGAACTAAGATTCAGGTACTTATAAGGTTTGGCAGAGAATTGAGATGTTGCTGTGTGATCGTGCTCACCAGTGTGGCTTCAGTCTGACTCTGAAAATCCAAAGAAAATTCAGCAGTAACAAAATAAAACTTGTTAGGTGTACAGCAGCAAAGCTGGTGTTGTCTCATCCACCCTTCTGCTCCAAGGCACTGCTGGCTCTATCCAAACCATTCCTGATGGAGAGGGCTGAAAATAAATGGAAAAATCTCAGACTCTTCACACTCCAGCCAAAGGGAATTTGTTGAATCAGATTCAAATTTGACCATTCTGACCTATGTGGAGAGACTTTCCATCTCCAGAGAGAACTGGAAATTTGTCTAGGTTTCTTTGCTGTTTTTGCTTTAATCCTAGTTCATTTCTCTGCAATAAATAAAGTGTTCTTGGATTATTTATTTTTTTCTGGCTTTGTCTGTGTGCTTTTTCTTTCCAGAGTTTAATAATGTGTAATATTAAGAAATAATATTATTAGAAAGTAACGTATTCAACATGGTAGTGGACTCCTGTCGCACTGTAAAGTGCCAGACTCAGTGACTTATTTGAGAGTAAAAAGCTAAAGCTTTTTTTTAATTTGAGAAAAAAAAACTTTTTTTCTTGTCTTAAAGGGAAATGGCTGCTCTTATAAACACTCTTTTAAAAACTTCTTTTGAAGTTTACTGAGGGTTCTGACGATGACAAGCCAATTCCAGGAGAAGTGCTGGCATTGTGAGGCTGCAGTCAGTGATGCTCAAGCAGCGCCAAACAGTTATTTGCAAGGTTGGGTCTTCCTGATTTGCAGATCAGGACAGGAAGACATCTGTTGAGTTATATATGAGCATGGGAGCCACCCAAGGTTTTTGAAAACCTACCTTTGGCTTGTGTGCATTGGATATATGTGTTGGATGTCAGTGCTGTATCTGTGTGGTGAGTAGTAGACAAGAAAAGATGTAGATGAGCAGCTGGATGGTGCCACTCGGAAGCTTTCATTTGTTCTCTTGGGAATTTTGGGTTGTGACAAGATAAAAACCAGCTCAAAAGCTGTGTGTAAATCTGTATGTGTATGTGTAAGGTAAGGATGTGCTTTTGCCCTTCTTCGTAGAATGCTTTGAGATATACAGGTGATCAGAACTGCATAAGCCATTGGATGCTGTCATTACAGGCATTGTTTTTAATATCTCCAATTGCACTTTTTTTCCAGCAGATTTCCAACTATCTCTCCCATAACTCTCAATGATAAATCAAATTTTGCTGCTAGTAAATAATCTAGCCAGGCCACTCAAACCACTTCCATTTTATCTGGTACTATGCAACATCAAGTGAAACCCTCATCAGAAAATGTTCCACCCAACAAGATTTTCAAAAGCCATCAAATCATCATGGTTGCTGCATTGTTTAGTAAAAAATAAAAATAAACTAGTTGCTCCTTGCAATATAATGTAGTTCAATTGTCATTTCTGATGCAGCATGTTCTTTGGTATGTTGGGGAAACTTAATGCTCATCGTACTGAAATCATTTGAAGATGCCTGCAGCCCCTCAAGGAATTAAGAGCAGACACTAGGTAAAGAGCTAAATTATACCAAAACCAATCCAGACTCACTGTGGGATCGTTCATTGACATACAGTGCAGAGTGTTCAAACACATGGTCTGGTGCTATTAAGAGATTTGTTTTTCTTGTACTTATCTCCTTAGGCCAAGTGTAGGCCATTAAAGCTTAGATTCTCTGTAGGAACTATTTTTATTCTCAAAAACTTTGGATTAAATGGATTAGCACATGTGTTTTATTGTACAGAGTGGACACACACTGGTTTTTAGGCTCCCCTCCTGCCAACTCTTTTTATGTATACTTTATTAATATTCTGTTAGTACTGTCAGGGCATGCAGCACTCAGATTCTTAAGTATATTGCCAACTTTAAATGCATGAATTTCCCCTTTAGTGTTCATTATATAACAACACATGTGACATTGTCCTTGGCTGAGCCATCAGAGGTATTTTCATTTTTTTATTACGTTGAGCCCTGTGGTTGCAGGGAATGGAATCTTTTTTTGGGTGAGGTCTGTCTCAAGGCACAGCACCTAGGTTCATTTAATGGAACATCTCTGGGGTTAGTCAGCAACATTTAAAGCAGTTGTGGCACAGTACTGAGGCATTGTCAACAATATACTTCTCATGTTGATTGAATCTGGGACCTCTTCTTGTTGCGTCTAGCTCTTGCCTTGTGCATCCTTGAGCCTACTAGGCATCTGTAAGCTTCTCCTCCTTATACAGCACCAGAGATCATGTTTGTTGTTGTTGAGGACTATTCTTAAATCCATCCGCGTTGTTGATTTTATCTCACTAGGTTCTGAGCATGGTGATCAATGCAGCTTACAAGCCAGGGAGCGTTTTACGAGAACTGCAGCTGGTGGAAGATCCTCAGTGGAATTTCCAAGAAGAAACGCTCAAAGCAAAGTAAGTCTTCAGTGTGTGCCCTTTTGTTATGGGAGGCTTCAGAAATGGGGCTGGCTGGGAAAAGAAATAACTGTATTGTAAGAGTTTTTTAAATTACCATTTTGCTTCGCTGAGTTGCTTGACTTGTTCCATAGCAACTTAACAAGTGAAATTTTCACCTGAATGGTTCAGTTCTATTGTCTTTCTCCAAGCAGCCATCAAATCTTGCAGAAATAGGACATATTTTTTCTGCAAAATCTTGACTCATACGATAAGGGGCTCCTATAAACTCAGCTATTACTAATTTCACTCAATCCCCAGCTTTTTAAATATAGTGCCGTTACTACTTTTAATACTGAGCCTGTCACTCAAATGCAGAAAAACATGGCAAGAATTGATGGCACCAAAACGTGCAAACAAAATAGCAGGGACTTATTTTTAAGCCGGTGAGTGTCTGAGACAAAATATTAGCAGATCTGAGTTTCACATTATGGTTTAATGTCTTTTTGGAATATGTGCTTCAGTTCTTGTCTAAATAATTTTTAAGAAAATTTTGTATCTAGAAAATACTCTGTTTTCCCTTCCTACTTAAAAATGTAACCAGTTATGTATTCTTTATGTAGTGGGCACTGTATTTAGTATGCATCTCAATAATTAACTGTTCAACAGTAGGAAAAGCACGTTAGCTCTCTTCAGATACTTCCAAAAAGCAGTTCATCTCATTTTAAGACAAACTCAGCAAATAGTTCCTTCTAGGTAGCAATCTGTTTCTATCCAAGCTTCATCACTTTGACTTTTTGAGTACTGATGCTAAATGGAGTGAATTTCACACTCTGTACTGAACTTTTACTCCTTTTTAATAAAAGCAATTTTATTTTGTGTATTTACAATGATTGGCATCAAATATGGAATTATGGATTGCTATTGTATTTGTTCTTTGGCCATGCAGACACTGGAGAAATCTCATATCTGCTCTTGCTGAAGGAGAGAATTGAGAACCTTTTATCCTTCCTAGTCAGAAACTTTTTCTAAAGGAGAACTGCAATTAGAAATGAGAAGCTACTGTTTTCATTTGCTTCTCTCACTCATGTGGAAGGTCATGCTTTTGTGTTCATCGAACAAAGCTTTGTGGATTGGAATCCAAAAGTCGTATTTGTGCCTGCAGATTTCCATTAAAAAACAGCGGACAAAGATTTCACTGATAGCAGGATCCTGTCAAACAACAGATAATGCACTGCAGCAGGTTCTAAGCAGCTGTGAAGTCAAGTCTTAGTGCCCCAACTTTACGTTCTGTCCTGCTTATGGGTAGCTTTTCTAGAAGCAGTGTTCAGAATATAACAATAATATAATTGTTGGGGTTTCTTATTTGAGTGTGCGTATCTGCCTTGTGCAAAAGCAATGTTACGTAGTTTGTAACTTTTGCAACCTTTGTTTCTATCAGGAGACAGCCTGACAAACGTTTAATTTTCCAACAAGCACAGAGGTGCTTTGTCCTTAGTAGTCAGCTATATCTACTGCCAATCCACTGAGATCCCAGGCAGTGTGTGGGCTCTGGGCATGCTTGTACCAGGAAGACCAACCTAATCAGGAATATGTGGTCCGCCAGAGCTCATCACCCACCTGTTTCATATCAGCCATTTATCCTCCCTCATGTTACCTGGTGTGCTAACTATACTGTAGTGAGCACCTCCATCTCTTCTGCCTTCCCCCGTGGTATTTCCGCTCATCTTTTCGGGTAGCAGTTTCAGCTCTCAACAAGTCAAATAGCATTTTTCGACTTTATCAAGCCACAGAATGGGTCTTGACAGACTCAGAGATAGGACATCAAGTTTTGGTGTCACTTCTGAGCACTGAAAGATATTCAGTATTGCCTTGTTCTCTGCCTCCTGAGCTCTAATGGAACTGGAGAAAACTGTATGGGTGCATCTATCTGGTTTCTGGAGTGGTGCTGGCTGATGAAACCAACTTGCCTGCAAGTAGCTGGGATACTTTTTATTGGTTGCCAGAGGATAGACTTACCTTACCTGAATACCCTTGGACTTCTCTTTTCCTTCCGGAGTTTACTTGAGCTGCTTCATCAAGAAGCCTGCTGGGGCTTTAATTGCATCTTGTGCAGAAGTGGGAAAGAAAACATGCTGATGAAATCAGATACCCTGGGATGTGCAAACTGCACATGACATGCTACCTCAGGTATGACAGTCGGTTGTGCTCCAGAATCTTAAACAGAGCCCTATAACGAGCAAACGCCTGTCTACACAGACTTCCAGCTATGCTGGCTCCCAATGGTGTCTTGCTGCTAATGATGACAGCTCTACAGCCAGCTGCAGCATCTGTGCTGTAATGTGACATGTCATGTCACCTCCTTCCTTCTGATATAAACTGACAACTCCTTAGATCTTGATAATGTTGTTGTTTGTTTGCAGCGATGGCTGCAGTAAAGAAGAGAGATGGTGAGGGAGGAGGATGGTGAGAAGGCAGCATTTTTTCCCACTGACCCAAATGCTAAATTATTCAGTGCTGGGAAGGCATTACCTCAGTCCTAGTGCAAGGTGCATTTAGGTTACTCTGCTGTCACAAGTGACCAGTACAGAATCAATTATGCTAGCCTTGCAAAGAAGATAAACAATTTAGATTGTCCAAAGAGATGGGTCTGCAATGTGTGATGGCATTCACTTCCCATCAGCACTACTGGCTTTCTGTGAAAATAGTCGAACTTGATTTATTGGTGATGATGAGTTAGAAATGTCAAGCCTAATCCACTGAATTCCCATGAGGACAGACAGACAAAGATATGGACATTCAGCCCTTATGGTTTTGATGCTTTAATTTCAGTGCCCTCATCTAGATTTGGCTTCCCAATTTTAAAAAGACATGAGTGCCTTTATGCTTTGTAAGAGCCTTTACTTGTAAGAGCTGTAAGTGGAGTTGAAAGGAGTTACCCATTCTTTTAGGACTTAGTACACAAAAAATACCAGTCTATGTGAATTATCTGGGGTCTAATTTGAAGTCCAGTTGATCAAACTAAGAAAGATGGGTATTCCTGGACTACTTATTAAATGAAATTCTGAGACCTGCTCAAATCCACTAGCTGTAGTCTAGAAATATTGACCCCAAATCGCAGACACGGTGACTTATTTATGAAGCTGTATTTCCAATGAAGTCTTTACAACATGAACACTTTACAAAACTGCCTTTCACTTGTGTTGAGGTATTTGATGTTTTCTTTGCCTTGCTTTTGCCTTAACAGCTGTTAGGGGTTGTGCTTCAGCCTCTCAGGTCCCTATCACTCTTTGAAGGAGTGAAGGAGTGAAGCATTTATTAACCATGGAAGACAGAAATAACCTCGGGATGACATAAGCAAACTGAATGTAGTGAACTGCATGTAGCCAGATGGGATGCATCCAGTTCTGCTTGAGGGAACTTGCTTGATGTCATTGTAAGGCCACTCTGTCACGTTTGGAATTTCATATGATAAGGAAAGTTCCCTCATTTTTGGAAAAAAGGTAAAAGTCAGATCCTTCCTCAAGATGGGCAAGAAGGAGAATCCAAGTAACTACAGGCTGGTCAGCATAACCTCAGTCTTTGGAAAGATTATTAAGCAACGTTCTCCTGGAAGCCATTTTCAGGAATATGCAGGACAAGAAAGTGACTGGGAAGAGCCAGTGTGGACTTAAAAAGGACAAGTTGCACCTCATGTGATGAGATGACTGCTTTGGTGGTTGTGGGAAAAGCAATGGAACTTATTTGTGTTTAATTTAGCAAGGATTTGACAGTCTCCCATAGTGTCCTTATAGCCAAGCTATGGAGATGTGAATTGGATGTGTGCCTGGTGGCTGGAAAACTGGCTGGACAGCTGATCCCAAAGGGTTGTGATCAGTGATATGAAGTCCAAGTGGCAGAGAGTTATTAATGGTTGTCCTCAAATGTTAGTACAAAGCTACAACTCATATGATGTGATTTGTCTTCTGCGTCAGCTCTGCCACATACTTCTTGAGGCGTTGCAAGGGTGAATTAGTGTAATCATTTGGCCTTTTGTGCCAATTACTGGAGATGGAATACACTACCAGCAGTGGAGTGACTTAAACCTTGTCATAATGAGGAAACTTACCAAGACATGTATTTTCAATAAGAATAATTTCAGTACCCTCTTCAAATCACATTTTCAATATTACAAAATATCACTGGGTGATCAGATAGCTCTGGAAGAAGAAACTACCACATTTCTGTTTTTTTTACCCAGATTAGGAGAATTTGTAAAATCCCCATATTTAGAATACACTGAGTAGCTTTGGGGTGCCAGTTTTGATGAAAACTTTGGTGTTTTTTTCTTTGTGGCAGTTGCAGTGCTCCCTGAAGGCAGGGTCTCATTCCAACATCATGAAATGGATGTTAGACAGTTTCTGCTGCCGTCACGGTAAATTGCTTCAAGTAGATGAGATGGAGAGAGACTTTGGTTGTCTTCTGTGGGTAGCCAGTGTTCCTAAGGGATTTCTCATTTTTGGTGGACTTTGGCTTTTTAAAGCAAATTCTTGCAAAAGAAGAGATAGAAGTTTTTGATCCCTGAAAGAAATGGAAGCTTTTAGCCATTGAGTTATTCAAAATAGTCTCAAAAATTGTCAGAACTGTGGGCTGTTATCCTTGTGATGAAACCTTTGAAAATGAGGGTAGTCTCAACGCTCTTGCTGTTTGATGTGTCTTCAGCATGAGGCTTTTCACAATATCACACAATGGACCCCAGCTGGAGCTCTTAGAAGACAGTTTATTCTCATGAATCTCAAATTCCAAAAGAAGAATAAGTATGACACAGCTAGCAAATTGCTATTAGCTCAGTATTGTTGCTCATGGATAAACAAAGATCCTGAGAACATTATTTCCTGAAAATAACTTCAGCCAAAATACTTTCTCCAAGTTTTGGGATCTGAGGGTGAGGCAGTGGGACAGGAAAGGGAGATTCATTTACCTGTAGCTGAAAATCTTTTATAAAGACCAGTGACTTCCAAAAAACCTAAAAATATTATGCTTGACACAGCTGTTTTCCATGTCTGCAGTGCTGCCATGCTGTGCATGCAGTTCACTTAGTGCTTAAAAGCCTTAATGAAAATGGGAGTCCTTGGATGAGAGCATCAATAGGAATAACAGCAGTAGGTGATTTTTTGAATGATACTAATGGAAAAGAGTTTTCTGATACCCAGAGGCACTCTTTCCACATAGCTGTCCTAAACCACTTTTGGTGGTGTTTGTGTTACAAATCTTTAGTATGAGGAAAAAGGAAAATACTAGTAGAACCTGGTTTATGATTGAAAGAGGTGCTGCCAAGGCCAAAATCTTGTAAAAAAATTTTACTATTGCCAGCACTAACATGTTGGATTATTGAGGCTGATGGGTGCACTTACGTTAAGCTGCATTTTGCCGCCCGTTCTGTTAATTGCTGTGTGCATTGCATTCAGACCAGACTGTGAAATCAGACAGCTGTTCATTTGCCTAGTTTCATCTTTTTCTTTCACCAGGCTCTGTAGTACAATGAGTCTTTTCTGGATAGCCAAACACAATAGGAAGTACATGGTTAGAAGAAGTCAGCCATCCTTGAATAATGCCCATCAGGCAGCTCTCTTAGCTTGCAAGAAAGAAGATCAAGAAGCAATTTGATTACAGTGCTTTTGCAGGGAAACAAAGCCAGATGCAGTCTTCTCATCCTAGTGGTGAAAGTCAGAACAAGGACAAATTAAAAGTAAGTTAAATCCACATGCTTCCATACACAAAATGAAACACAGGCTTATGGGTACAGATGCTCTTGCTGCCAGGATTCTTCCAGCATGAAGAGAAAGCTGGTGCTTTGCTGGAAGTGATGCTCTAGTTCAACCAAAGTTGTTAAGGGTTCAGGTGAATGTGATTGAAATTCCTAGGCCTATCACTGGATTCAGATTCAGTGACCTAACAATCTAAGCTGGCCTTAAACGTAATGGCTCCTGGAGAAGTAAGGGCAGGAGTCTTTTCAATCATGTTGAAAATAAATAGAAAACATTTGTAGGTAGATATATTTAAATGTAGGTAGATATATTTAAATGCTAAAAGGTAGAGTGGAGACTACAACCTTCACTACATCCTAAAGACATTATTTAAATAATTAAATAAATTTAATGGCATTTAAATATATCTACCTACAAGTAGATAACAAAGTCCAAAGAAGGACTTTGTTCTTTTTACATTATTATTTGCCAAACCTCCTTTAGCTAACCAGCGCTTTATAGGGAAGCTGGAATAACAGTGCTCTCTATCTAGAGGAAGAACTTTTTTCCATTTTATATCATCTATCTGCCAAGGTCTGTCACGGTGCATGAAGGGTTGGCAAATAAAATAATTTATTGATGCATTCATTCCAGCATTGTCTCTATAGCTAGGGGTCCTTGTTTGAACACCAAATAGGCTGTCAGAGCCTGCTGCCTTGCAGAGATGCTATTTTAGATTCTGGAAGAGAGAGTTGTATTGAGGTGATAGTTTGGATCAAGTCTTCTGCAACATGAGGATGGCTGAGTTGAGTTGTTTTCAGACCCAAGTTTTATTTGACATAGTTTAATTAGCATGGTGGTGGTGGGTTGATGGTTGGACTAGATGATTTCAGTGGTCTTTTCCCATCTTTATGATTCTGTGATTGAGTACCCTGTATGACTTCGTATACCATAGGGTTGAACCTTCTTCCCATATCCCCGTGCTTCCAGAAAGGGCTGCTGGGAGGTAGAGCTGGAAGAGTTGATTTCTCACTTGCTTTGCACATCTCAGTAGAAACTTAAGAGAGAGGGAATTGGGTCTGGGCATATGCTGTGTATTTTGATTCTCCAGCCACATCTTCTTTGCTTCTTCTGTTCGCCTTTCATATTTGACTGTCAGGAGCTGCTCCCTTACTAGTGAACTGTAGATCTTAGTACTTTCACAAATCCTTTGTCTTGTTTTTCCTGATGACTTCCAAACCAGTAATCTGTGTCTTTCACTCTCTCTCCCTCTTTCAGTTTTGTGTGTGTTACTTTTTTCTCTTCTAAACACATAAGTAATGCCTAAGCACCAGACGTTTGCATGATTGTCTCTTGTGTTGCTCCTTAGGATGTGTAAGAGATGTTTTAAAAACCTTATCTCACAGTTTACAATAGCTCAGTGCTGCTGTTCAATAAATTATGGGGATAATTAGTTTTTCAGAGTTCACATCTACAGTGTTTTACAGCAGGGATGTAACTGTAACTTTCTTAGCCATTTATCGCTCAGAAACACTTTGTGTAAAACAGTGGAATAAATGGTTTAGTTTAGATAACAAATTTCAGGCAAATGTTTCATTGCAGATTTCTGCTCTAAGCATTCCCTGTAGGAATTACTGGTTTTAGGGCCTGTTCTCGTAGCCCTATTAAACCACTCAGTAAACTCCTTATTAGTTCCTCAGATTGTGTGCTACCCAGATCTCATAGCAGTGAAGTCATCTGGTCTCCATATGGCAGGCAATCCCATTTCACCTTGATACTTCTGCACTGTGTATGTGTTCAGTGACTGAAATTGGCACAACAACAGTGTGAGCGTGTTGTGGTATGGAACATGAGGCGAGAACTGCTTTGAGAAAGGCAGCAATAGAGAAGACAAAAGGTAGAGTGGAGACTACAACCTTCACTACATCCTAAAGACAAAGTGGTAACCAGGAAGTTCTCCAAGGCATATAAGCTCATTAAGCTTCTCTCAGGTCCATATGTGAGAAAGGTCACCTGTCTCCTCAGTGCTTTGTATCAGCTGAAAGGATGATATCCTGTATAATATCCACACCAACTCGATATGAATTTTTTCTGTCTTGCCATATCTCCAGTTTGCACATGCATTCCTTTCTAAACCATGTCCTTGCCTCCGCTTCTAGGATCATTCTACCTTCTTTTCTATTTTCAAGTATTCCACGATCAGTGTACCCTACTTATTTTTCAAGTCAATCTGAAAGAGAGTCATGTAGGCAAACAGAACTATTCTGCCTGCCTGCCCACGAGACTCTCCCAAAAGGTGTTAGGGAATGTATCTCCCTAAAAGAGGGCAGAGTCTGCTGTGTAGCATCAAAAGACAACACTTGATTGGTAACATTGGATCTCCTTGTACTCATTTCTAGATACAGAGGGAAGACATACAGGGCGACTGTTAAGATTGTGCGAACGTCGGATCAGGTAGCAGATTTCTGCAGAAGAGTCTGTGCAAAGTTGGAGTGCTGTCCCAATTTGTTCAGTCCTGTGCTGGTGGCTGAAGTCTGCCCAGAGAACTGCTCCATTCATACTAAAACCAAGTACAGTGAGTATTGACTGGGAGGCTTGTTGCTAGCCAGGATTCAGGGCAGTGGGATGCTATGTGTGAGCTAGTTACGAAGAAAAAGAGTTGTGTAATACATTAGTGTTGAGTGGGACTCACCTCTTGTAGTTAGAGTAGAGTAGGTACAGTACTTTAGTTACTTGGTTCTGACCAAATCACTGCAAGCTTCCTTGTTATTCTCTACAAATAAATGGGCATCTCCAGAAAACAGTCCATTTCACTCCATCCAAATACATCTCTTTGAAACTCACTGCTCTTTGGAAGCTTTGACTTTTCTTTGCATGTAAAGTTAATATAAGGAAAATAAAAAGAAGTCCAAAATACTGAAAGTTAGAAAACAAAAACAAAACATATTCCTTTGTGTGTCAAAGAAACATACATAATTCAGGTTACCTGGCCCTTTCCACCATCCACTGAAACCATCAGCAATTGGAAGTGTGTGTTAACTCATGCAGAAGGACATTGGATCAAATCTGAAGCATGCTGTCCTCTCATTTCAAGTTGGTCTAACTGCAGAGTGTGGGGTTAAATTCTGAACTCATCACTCATCACCAATAAAAATGTAAACATAAGAGTTGTATCACTTTGTGCTAGTCCACAATGGTATCTTTTATTTATACTGGACATTTTTTTTCCAAATCAGGGTATTTTAGAGTTCCTTGTAAAAGTGCACCTAGAGTGTAACACTGAATCAGTAGCAAAAAGCAAGCTGAAACTCTTTTCTTTCGGTGGTTAAAGGTTTTAACGAGCATTTTGATTTCCTTCCTCCAGCTTATTATTATGGAAAAAGGAAAAAAATCATTAAGCCACCAATTGGGGAAAATAATAACATGAAAAGTGGGCATGTCAAGCCCACCAGACGCAGAAAAAGGCGGAAATCCATCTTTGTGCAGAAGAAAAGAAGGTCATCAGCTGTTGATCTGAATGCTGCAGGCTCTGCAGAGGTATGCATTACACTGGGAAAAATCAGCAGGTGCCCCCAGTGCTTTCCCCTCTGTCCTCATCTCCTTTTCAAGGGACTTCTCAGCAAACCCCATCACTTCTATCCCTCATTTTGAAACCCTCCTTACCACCTTCCTCATCTAACATTAAATTAATTACATTGGGACACTTTAGGGACTTTTGCCCTTGACCATTCTAGAATTAGAAGATACTGTTTTTCTTTCCGCCTTCATAAGGTTTGGTAGCTATTGCACTGTCAAATACTGTATCTGTTTTCTTTTGCTTCCTTACAGCCCTGTGGGCAGACAGATGGGCCTGTTTGGTGTTTGGTTCAGCATCTAAGATCTCAAAATATTCTAGTAAATAATAATAACTCTTGGGCGTTATGGTTTCAAGGGCTTTTAATTTTTCATTAACCCTTTGTAGTATTTTTGGTTCACCACTGCTAACAGCAGAAGTGTGAGAGGCCTTAGAAATCAAGTAAATAGTTTGTGTCCCAAATATGTGGTATCTGAGGCCTCAGTCTTTTCAGGATGCGGTGTGATACAGGATTCTGAATTTTTCAGTGATTTGTGTCCATCTGGAACCTGTAGCCATTGTGGTTAAATACCTTCTGTGTGAACCCTTTTCCAGGTGATTTTCTTGTGATGGTAATGAAAAAACACATGTTTTTGTTCTGTTTCCTTTCCTCACCTGAGCACCATTTATTGTTGCTTCATGCAGTGAGAAAGCAAACTGATTTGGTTAAATTCCCTCTAATTCATATGGAGGGGAGCAGCTTAAGCCACTGTCACTTGATGGCTTACATCTTCATGGCTCAGTCCTCCTTTAGATGGGGTTCAGGCTTATTTCCTTAAATTATACTGCCTGAAAGGAATTTAAACTGAAATAAACACATTTTGAGCTGAAATCAACCATTAACCAAGTTTTTCAGCCTTTCAACCAATATAACTGGTTTGGGCTAGAATTCAGCTAAAACCTATGCATATGCATTGGATGCATGCTCACACTTCATTCAAAACTGAGATATCAAAGCCATTTTGGCTACTTATGTATAAAGTTCAAGATACACAGTTTCCATTAGTTGATTTATATTTGCAAACTCTGTGTTACAGAAATCCCAAGAATTCAGTGTGGTTTCCTTTACCTGAAAATTTGTGCTGCTCTGTCAGTACTTAAATGTTGGGCTGAAAGCAGACAATCTAAGAGAAGTCCTTTGTACTGAATTTTACAGAAATGCCAGCTGAGCAATAAGACCTACGCATTGGTACATCTAGCTATTTTAAAAAGACACCAGCATTTCTTTCTGTTTAGTACCAGTGACACCCATGGCCATTTGAAGTAAGGTGAAATGTTGAAGTAAGGCAAAATTTTCAACTCCTCTGCTTATTGCAGGGAAGTTGGAATAAATGTACTTCAAGGCTCTGTTCCAACTCAAATAATTCTATGATTCCATGATTCTTTGAAAGCCTATTTAAGATTTTGCTTCGTTTCAAGCAACCTGTGTTTCACTCTATGCTTTAAGTATTTTCCATTTCCCCTTCTCATGCTCATCTGCAGTGCCGTAAGGTTTGAGATGCCAACACAGCAGAGGAATGTTTCGTGCCAAATGAGTTATTACCATTGACCTTTTGTTAGAAACAAAAAAAGAACTTGTTCACTAGCTATTTTTCAATTCTGTATTTTGTTATGAATCTAAATTGAAGGTTAATCGACTTGGCACTATAGTGAAAATGAAATATTTGATTAAAATAAACGTTACTCTAGGCCACCATGGAACACATGGGTGCAACTGAGGGAAGCAATGCAGGGAACTGGGATTGTTCAGTCTGGAGGAGGCTCGGAGGAGACCGTATTGCTTTCTACAGCTGCCTGAAAAGAGGTTGTAGTAAGGAGGAGGTTGGCTTCTTCTCACAGGAACTGATAGGATAAGAAGGAATGGCCTTAAATTGCCACAGGGGAGGTTTGGTTGGATATTAGGAAAAATTTCTTCTCAGAAAAAGTCATGAGGTATTGGAACAGGCTGCCCAATAAGGTGGTTGAGTCACCATCCTTGGAGGTGTTCAAGAAATGTGGAGATGTTGCACTGAGGGACGTGGTTTAGTGTCGTGATCAGGATGGATTGATGGCTGGACGAGACGACCTTAGAGTTCTTTCCAGCCTTAGTGGTTCTGTGGTTCTATGACATGGGCCCTGCAGTTTAGCCTCGTGTCTTTTGATCTGCTGCTGTATCAATCTCTGAGCCCAGGTGCCCTTTTCCTGCTGGTCTTTGTGCAGGAGAGCGAAGAAGACGAGCCGGATGCAGTTGAGGATGAGACGGGAAGCGAGGAGACGAGCTCAGAGCTCCGTGATGATCAAACAGACACCTCCTCTGCTGAAGTCCCTTCTGCAAGGCCCCGGAGAGCAGTTACCTTGCGCAGCAGCACTGAGTCAGACAGACCTCCTCCTACAGAGAGGGCCCGGCGGAGCCGCCGGCCACAAGCCGTGTCTTGCAGTGAGGTGGAGAAGTCACCACAGCTCAAGGAAGTGAGTATGACCCCAGGCTACCGATATTTTCCCTGCACCGTCCTTCAGTGCCTAACCTTTCTCATCTGAGGAGGGCATCCCTACAGTGCAGCTGCATGGCTTCCCACACCATGTGGCTTTCTTTAAGATAACTATTTTTTTGTAGGAAATTAAGCACGAAGAAGAAGAGAAGCTCATCCTGGACAGTAATCCCTTGGAATGGACTGTGACTGATGTTGTGAGGTTTATTAAACTGACTGACTGTGCACCCCTTGCCAAAATATTTCAGGAGCAGGTAGAGATCTTTATGTAACTCTTCTTTTTATGTCTGTGGTGCTTATTCACAGTAAAAATAAATAATAAATAAAGCAATGCATGTTGCTAGCCTTGGACCCATGGCTTCCACAAAGAGCTTGTAAGCAAATTTCAAATCCCTTGAGGCCAAGCTATGGCAAACAGCTGGACAAGGCATGAGTACCCTCAGAAATTCAAGTCAAAGCCTTGTCAGATACTCAGAGAGCAGAAACCCGCTCTTCACACCCTAGTCAGCATCCTTGTCAAAAGCACAACATTTACACCTTTCATACCAGTGGTTCTGTGGCAAGACCCACAGCACAATTCCAGTGTTGCAAAGGCACTCTGGTGTACCAACAGATAATGGTTACTTATTACACAGCTAGCCATCTCTCCCTAGCCCCCTTGAGTTTCACTTTGTTTTAAAATATTGGCCTGCAGAGTAGAAATTTCCCAACTGAACCCCAGATTGGCTGCATGAATTTTGATGCCAATACCTGGATGCTCCAAGTGTGTAGACACTTCCCATCTACATCCCTTGAAAGATCTGACAGGCAGGCCGTTTGGTGACCTAATCTTAGCAGATGCCAGACATCTCTGATTAAATAGGTAAGTTTGGAGGAGTAGAAGCCAATGTTCTGCATCTGAAGTTAGTGAACATGTAAAATTTATACAGAACAGACATTCCTTGGCTAATAAGTAACAGCCTCTGCTAAAAGTGAAGGGCAGCTCTAGGAAATCATGGTTAGAAAGAAGCAAGTGTGGTTCATTAGTCCATAGCCCTTGGTTGTATGGCTAACTGCATATTTTATTATTTCTGATTCTTCACTGTGAATAGCTCTGTTCCAGATTACAATAGGTTTGATAGGAAGAAATTGAAGTGTGTGTAGAGCAAGGCTGAAACGCTCTCATAAGAAGATCCTGTAGTTGCTGCACTGCAGCATGCTACAACCATTTGTTAATCAGCCTGGAGTAACTCCAAGGTTTGAAAGCCAACCCTGTCCCTCCTGGGCCATAGAGTTTTATGGTAACCGTAATCAAACACAGATGACTGCAGATTTTCCTTGCTATTTGCTGTACCATTCAATTATACCATCAAGCTTTGGTGTAGGGAGGACCTGAGCAATGGTCAGTCCTGATCAAAGCAGTGTTTAAGGGGTCTAAATCCTCCCTCTGTTTAGCACTACCTAATCAGGGCTTTCCTGGGGAGTTCATGGTGCCTGTGAGTTACTATACTTTTTCTGCATTTCTGATCTGATCTTCTCTAAGAGTTAAAAAGCAGTTTTGTAGCCAAATCATCTGCTTCTTAGTCTATTAAAGAATAAACAGAACTTGAGCACTTAATTAAAGAAGGATCAGAAAGCTAATAGAAATCCCTAATAAAATGTCTTCAGTCTGGCGTGCTAGTTTAGAGAGTTTGGTGCATGAGCGCACCTGAAGGAAGGACATGACCTCCAGAGGACCCTTCACTGTGAGATTCTGTGACATTAGAGTTGGAAATCCAGGTCCATTCTTCTTGATTATTCAGCAGATTATGTTGAACAGGGCAGATCCTAGGTGGCTTGGGGGACTTGGCATGGGATAAGGCAGACATAAACCTGTGCTGAACAAAAGAGAGGAAGAAAAGGTCTTGTTTGGTGCTGTGAAGCTGACTTAAGTTTTTCTGTTCAGCACTGCAGCCTTGTTCTTGCTTCATTTCCTCAGCCACAGAATGGAGTTTGTCTGATCTCTGTAGTCCTCTGCAGAGTTTCTTTAAAAGGTGATCTGCTAGACTTTCCTTATATGATTGATGAGAGCCTGTGAGGTCACAGTAGATAACTTCTAAAGAAGCATAATGTATTCCAGAAAAAGGAGATGAGCTGCATTGAAGTGTGAGAATAGGGCAGAGAACAAAGTTGTCTTCAGTTTTGAGGGCAGATTTCCTTTCTTGTTTCTCAAAACATCTCTGCCTTCAAGAGTCCACAAACAAAACCATTATCACTGTTTTTCTTCCTCAGGACATTGATGGCCAAGCCCTTCTGTTGCTGACGCTGCCCACGGTGCAAGAATGCATGGAGCTGAAGCTTGGTCCAGCCATCAAACTGTGCCACCAGATCGAGCGAGTAAAAGTCGCGTTCTATGCACAATATGCCAACTGACTGCACTTCTCTCTTTCTTTCTGTTCACCTTCTCATTCCCTCTATTTTTTAACATCACAACTTGTTCACGTTTTTTTTCCTCTTCCTCTTTTCTTAAAAAAAAAAACACAAAAAAACAAAAAACAAAAATCATGGAATTGGAAGCTCTGAGAATTAATCTGTAGGGGGAAAAATAACACAACAAAAAATCCAGCAACAAATTGAACTAACTGTTGTAAAGCACAGCGCTGGTATCTCTCCTCGTGAGCTTTGCCAGCATGTTTTGCTGCAGTGCAAGGTCAACATGGATCAGATGGATTGTCGTCCTTTAAAGCAAAGCTACCTATGGCAGATACGTTTCCACGGTGAATAGTCGGACATTTTCAGTAATGATGGTTTGTCTTCGTCAATTTCTGGACATGAACAATCCTTTTAGTCAACTCTGACACACTTCTTTCATATTGAAATGGAAGTGAGAATTTGTAACGTTACCTGGGCTTTACTGCAAATTTGATCTTAGTGATCATTAGGCTTTCTTTCACCTCCTCCCCAGTCATACAAAAGGAAGAAGTGTTATACCAGTCATATGCTGTTTACTGTTGAGTGAGTTATAAAGCAGGACTCAACCCACTGTCTTTGAATGGTATCACACAAAGTTGCAGCCAGTTGACAGACCTTAGGCATAATAATGTTTTCTGAGCAATGGTGGCCACAGTGAGCTGAATGTCTCACTGATGGGATCTGTGCAGTACTGCATTCGTGTGAAGGACCGTACATGAAAACCTCCAAAGTCAAGCCTATCCAGTTATATTTGGGTCACTAAACATAGGCCAGACTTTGCAACTCAAGGGGTGAAAAAAATAGGGGGAGGGGAGTCCAGATTTAATGGCAAGACTGTTCAGCACATGCTGATTTAACTTGCACCTTTGTCAGTCTGGTTACTAGGTGGGAATAAAAACCATCAATATTTTCAGGCTGTGTACACCGTGGTGCTTTAGTCCAACTGACACATCCAACCCAGTGCATCTTCTGTCAGTAATCTGTATAAAGCCCCAACTGTGTCCCAGTGGCAGACTGGCCAGTGAAACTGGGGGCTTGCTTTGTACCAAGTAGGGTGAGCACCACAGGGAGTGAAGAAGCGGGACAGACATCTTGGGCTTGCCTCAATTGTGCATACAAGATCAGTATTTTCTACTTACTTTACAGGGATATATGGCCCTGTGAGTGCCACATGTTGACCTCAGCAGTGGTTGGTGGCATCACATTGGTGTAAAATTCTCTTGAAAGCAAGAACCAAACTGGTTCTTCAGACCAAGTCTGAATTTTGCTCTGACTTTAGGTGCAGGTGAATTCTTCCCTCAAAAAGTGAATGGGGTAGTTTGGGCTGATTTCATCAGAAACCACTGACTTCAGTAGACTTTTTTTCTACAAACTGGAAACAGACCCCAATTCCCTGTTCTCAGGGAACACAGCCTAGAAATATAGTACAATCACATCACAGTGTTGTGATGCCAAAGCCTACTCAACTAAGATCTCTCAAAAATAAATGTCATTTCTAACTCTGAATCTGAAGAGATTTCTTAGGGCCAATAACCCCATCTCAAACAGTTAACATATGGTGACAGCAGACTTGGATCACATGGTCCTGCAGACCTTAGTGTGCTCAGGAGAACCTACTGACCAACATCAGGCTATAGCTGGTGCTTTCTCCTTCATCAGTTTCCTCCTTAAAATCTTTGGTTTAGAGGTGGAAAGCCTCAGAAATAGAGATTCTGAATTATGTCCAGATTTGGTCTGGGGCATGGATTAGGTAAGAAGTATGGCCATGCATTGTGAAGACACTCTAGTCCATCTTTAAGGGGGATTCCTGATTTGCCATTGGGGAGTGTGATGTGTGCAAGCTGGGTCAATTCCTGCCAGCTCATGAGATTTCACAGAAAATTTTCTTCTACTGAAGATCTTGTTCAAGTTTTAATCAAATGAAGGAGCATGTAGTCATTGCTGTGCCAAAATGCTTCCTTTTGTTTCTAAGAAATCTAGGAATAGGGTTCCACAGTATTGCAGACATTCAAAAACTTGGCTTCAGACTGGATTTCCTTCTGAGAGTAGCACTGAACTCTGTCCATGCAATTAGTTTGATGACTACTTTGGATTCCTCTAAATATGCCCTAAAAACATCATACCACTTTTCATCTCTGAAGACAAAAGGATTCTACCCAGCAAGAAGAGAGCAGAATCATAGCATCGTTAAGGTTGGAAAAGACCTCCAAGGTCATCTAGTCCAACCATTCAGCTACCCCAATATTCCCCACTAAACCATGTCCCTAAGTACCGCATCTATACATTTCTTGAACACCTCCATGCTGGGTGACTGCCTGACCTGCCTGGGCAACCTGTTCCAGAGCCCAACCAGTCATTTGAAGAAGAAATTCTTCCTAATATGCAACCTGAATGCTTCTCCCAGCTCCACACTGCTTCAGCCCAGTCACATAACTGCCAGCAGAGGATAGCCCCCAAAAGTTCAGTGTCAGAAGAACCAGCATGTAAGGATGTTTCAAAGAAAGAGAGTGACTGTTCACAAAACAGCATCCTAGCACCAGTCCTTTACTTACTGTGTCCACCTTCTGAGCATCCTTTGTTGCTATAATATTCCTTGGACTTTGTGGTTGCAGGGACTTGTTGAAGACATTTAATTCTTGTGGGGATACATTGAAAAAAAAAAATCAGGCTTTTTCCATCAATTTAGTAACTATTCATTTTCCAATGGCAGCTAACTATATGGAGTCTGGGCCAGGGAGCAGCCTGTTCTAGTGTTGGCCAGTCTGGGGATTGGTGGAGCATTGAGCCCAGCATGTGGGAGTCTTCACTGATTTTTCAGGGAAGTTAAAATGTATTTTAAACTCACCTGATAAGCAAAGACAACAAAAAAAGTTTAATTTTAGCTCACACCAGCTCTTTTATTTCCTCAGGATTTTTGCTTCTCACCATTTGTCTTTCAGTCTAATATTCTTCAGTGTCCTCTCAGTTATCTCTGTCTATCCTTTTGGAGAAGATGATAGCTTGAAATCTCGAGCCTAAAATTACCTTGCATTGAATGGGTGGTAGATGCTTTATTGTGTTGGGTTTTTTTTGTTTTTTTTTTTAAAGTATGCAGAATGGAAAGGAAAAGAGAATTGGGCTTCTGTTGTTTGTTGAATTGATTGCCCCTCAGAGAAGCTGGAGCCCTCTTAGTTTCTTAAACAAGTAGGAAGTGGGCTCCTCACGCTTTAATTGAACATTATATTCAGATTGTCACTCGAAGCTTGGGCAGCGATCAGAGAGAACTGCATACTCTTTCCTGCACTTCATTTCAATTCCTGAAAATTAGCCAGGGTCTGCAGTAATTTATTTCAAAAGAGCAATCTTCCTAGGGTAAAATGGCACCTTTGCTAAGTAGAAGCACTTTTGCAAGATAGTCACCAGGAAGACCTGGGGAATCCACACTCTTTGACTGACTAACCATCTCTGGATCAAGCCTTTCTGTATTCAGTCAGGTGATTTTAAATCTCCCATAGCTAATTCTAGATGCTCTTCAACATTCAATTAAACCATCTGTTACTAAGCATCGCAATGTTAACATTTATATGAAGGTAGTAGATCACAGAAGACCTGTGAAATAGAGATTGCTGTATTTATGTCTCTTCCCTCTTTTATTTCATTTTGTTCAGACCAATTTCCACCTGACATTTTTAACTAAATTATCTTGTAATATGGTGACTTAGATTTATTTTTTTTTTGAACGCTGGAGGTGTTTTTGGTCCTTCATAGATTCTGGGCCTAGTTCAGAGTTGGTGCAACTTAATAGATATACTGGTGACACTGATGAAGGCACATCTTCTCATTCTGAATTCGATACACAGGGCTGAAATATATCACATTATCAGTTAAAGTGATGAATTCATGGTTAACCAAGGCCACTACCGAGGGCTGAGGAGCAACCCTGCAGTTGCTTTGGGCTTTTGGATGCTGAATTTCAGCACACTCACACTGACCACCTTTCTTCTACAAAAAGGGTGATCAGGCAGCTGTTGTTGATCTCTATTCAGGCATAGGACTAAAGATGGACATTTCCGAAGCTTTGTGCTCTGGAACGCAATGAGTAGGAGGAGGGTGTAGTACCTACCCATCTCCATTTGGCTTCTTTTGAGCTAGATCAAGTTTAGAAGGGTACCTGCTTCCTTTCCATCAGCTTGTACAGAATCCAACCAGTCTGTAGTCCTACGCTGGTTTCTGAGGGTGGATTAAAGCACTAACTCAGAGGAATGTCTTATGACTCCCAGCTGGTAGACCCGCTTGCTTCCTGCTGTCATGGATGCTCCTCTCCCACCTCAAAGGAAGATGATCTCTTTGATTTCAGAGCTCTTCTTCCCTTTCCAGATTGAAAACACAGCTCTATCCACACCCCCTGTTCTTTCCTCAGTGCTAAAATGACTGCAGCTCTGAGAAGGGTTTCAAGGTCCCCAGCTCTACCATGTTAGCCATATGCAATAGATCTCAAGAGTTTGGTTTTGCAGGATGCAGAAAACGCAGAAATGCAGTGTTGACTTACAAAATCAAGACAAGTGCTTACACACCCTGTCCTTGATGAAGCATCTAGCAGATTCGTGTCCTAGAAGAAATAGCCTGATCCACATTTACAGAGGTATTCAAATGTCTGAAGGGATGTACAGAGTTTCTCAGTAAAAGATTCATAATGCCCAGTAAGATTTTTCACCTTGGCTAAACATCTGATCTGCCTTAAACTGAAATGTTGCCATTCCTTGGCTTTAACTTGCAAGCTTTTGCAGCCCATAGATGTGGACTGAAGCAAACACCATCTCAGCTCTCCAAAGGCCAGCCAGACATCGAGTTGCCATAATCCATTGCTGATTGCCTGTGCCCTGATCATGTTGGGGCACAAAATTGATTTTGATGGAGCTGCAGTGTAACTGCAGTGCTTTTTAGAAGCTCAGTACCGTCAAGGTATTTCAAATGATTTTTGGTTTTCTGCTGCACAGTGTCTGGAAGAATAATGCAGCTCATACTGTTCCTCCTATTTCAAAATTCAAGTGCCAAAAGGGAAGAACGTGCTGCAACTGAACACCATTAAAACCAGCTTTATTACTTGTGGATAATTATGGTCTCAAGGGCTCCATTTTGGTGCTAGAATATGCCATGCTGTATTTTCCATTGCTTGGAATTACAGAGTTGATTCCTTTCTTCAGGAAATGTTTTCTGTAATCAAAAACATCTTAAATATTGGGATTGTATGATTGTGTTTATTTCTTGTTCTTTAATTCAGATACACTCAACAAATGAATTCCCCTCCCTGCAGTCATGTGAGTTTTTGAGAAATTTTGTAAGGTATATATGTATATGTATATTTAAAAACTCTTTACAAATTGCAGTGCATGCCTATTTTTTCCCTTGAAAATATTTTCTCATATCAGCTGGCCTATGATTAAGGGAATTTGTTACTCAGGATTTAATCCAGAAGTGACCAAGGTTAGAAGTGTCCTCACATGTGTGGGCTTTGGGACAGGGTCTCCATCAAATTCTTTCACTTAGAAGTTAAAAAGCGTGCAGTTAATTAATACAAAATTTAAAATCCACCCTCCTCCAGCAGGCAGATATCCTGCTGAAATCTGCCAGACTTAATGAGAAGAGGGCTCATGTCTTTAGGTACTCATGAACTCCAAATGAAAGGAGCAGAAACATTTAATGTTCTCATTTATTATTTGGTACGATACTCCAGCAACAAGTGCAAATTATCTGATGTCTGCATTTAGAATATGAGTCAGTCATCAAAGAATGTGAGTTTTACAGCCCAGTAGTCCTTTAAATGTCATCTGTCCTGGAGGAGAAGAATAATTTTACAATGATTTGGTGCCATGCACTGGAATTCTCTTGCAGAAGACAGATGAACTGCACAAAAACATATTGGGTCATCATTTTAAGTATGCCCTTTTAATTGCTTTAGTCTTTCATGGGAAAAAGGTTTTCATGTTGCTGGTTTAAAACTCCCACTTTTGTAATGGCTCATGGCACAGCATACTAGCAGAATGCATTTGCGTCTGTGGTCACGTTATGTGTGAGTGTGGAGGTGTTTGTGGACAAGCAGATAGTTCAGATAGGACAAGAAGATCTCCCTTCCTTGTACCTTGTTTTAATAGTGTCCTCTGTGGAACATGGAGGGCACATGCTCCCCAGAGCACATCATGGAGGGAAATGTTTCCAGCAATGCTGTTGTTGCATGGCCATGTTGCCCAGGTAGCCTAATGCAGCAAGATAATTGCAGCCTACCAACAGATATTCCTGACCTTGATATCTACCTAAGATAAATGTAGGAGTAGGCAGGGACTACTCCTTTCTCCTTTCAGGGAAGAAGAGAGGGTTGGAGTTCTGGGTTTGAGGGTCTTCTCATGTGAGGAAAGGGCACCTGTGGTCTATCAGCATAAATTCCTCAAGACATCTCTGTCTTTCTCATAGTAAATAAAGATGCTCTGAGCCCTTGCAGGGGCCAAGTGTGAGGGAGGAAGAAAGCAGGCAGTATATTCACAGCTAGAAAGCTGGAAGTTTTCTTTCTTGTTTTGCTTATGGAGATGTAGGGATTTGGCTCTGAAGGGTGGATTGGAGGGCAGTAGGGAAGATCCGTCTTTCTTCCTTGTACTCAGCTCCTGTACATCTCCTGGTTTCTGGAGGCAGCTTTCAGACTTCCAAGGGAAATGTCAGGGACTGAAACTTGAGCTCTCTCCCATAGAAATAGGTGATACTGCCTTAAGCTCAGGTAGTGGATCTACAAAATGCTGTTGCATGTTATGATGTGAGAAGACAAAAATCAACATTCCCAAGTCACCAGTCTGCTTGTTGCTGCTCCAGCCTCACTGAAGTTTATGACCATTATATCTGCTTATAAATGCATACAGGGATATAATGTACAGGCAGGCATTCACTGTGATGTAGTCCAAAAGTGGTGAAAGATCTCAAATGCAGGCTTTGGAAGGTTGAGTTGAGTCTTCTCTTGTGCCAAGGTGAGGCAAGGCAAACACTCAGACCCGTATGACAGTTAGGGAACAGCAGAAATGAGCTCAACAACCAGCAGACACAGTCCATTCGTGGTGATGCACGTTGGAAATCTTTGAATTGTTTTGCATTCCAGTTTGTATGGAAGATTTGATTCAAACAGTGTATATATAATCCCTTTGGTGTGTTACAAATATATATGTGTGTGTGTATATATATGTATATATGTGTGTGTGTGTGTGTATATATGTATGTGTATATATATATATATACATATAAACCAATCAATGCTGGTGTTTTTACTTTTTAAAGTTCATGGGGCAAAGGGCATGTTGTTAGTTTGCTGTAAGATTCTATTCTGTATATATGTTTTCATGTAAATAAGTGAAAATCTATATTCAGAGTTATATTTTAATTTTTATTCAAAATGAAATAAATCCCCTTTTTACTTGAGCAATTGTAAGCTACGTTGTTAATGAAGTAACAATAAATCACATTTCTCTCAAGGTTGGTATTTTATTTCATTGGACAGTAAGGGTTGTGTGTTGGTGTATTTGATGTATTTGTTCCACATGAGGAGTTAAGGTGAGAAAACAGTCTCTTGGCTTTGCTGCCAGTGGCTTTGTTTTGAGTGACCCCATGCACTTTCCGGGAAGGGACAGTCAGGACTTGTCCTTTGCAGAGTCGGACACTTAAAGGCACGTCTGGGGGTTCCCTTTGTAGTCTCTAGAGAGAAGCACAGCAGCACGACTTCTGCCGGCCAAATTGAGTTGCCTGAAGGAGATGCCTTTTGTCACTGCCTTTGGATGGGCTCTTCATTTAGGTTAACACCAAAGAGGATGAACGTAAGCCATGAGCCAGTTTCTGCAGATGGTCATAACCAGGTGTTGGATGTGGTCCCTCAGAATGCCATGCTCTTGAAACAATATGGCATCCAGGCAGCACACTTCCCATCCAAGCAGAGGTGTGCCTCAACATACATGAGCTCTTCACTCCCCAGCCTTGACAAGTGTGTCCAATGTACTTTGACTTAATTCCTGCCCTTGATAAACCCATTGGCCTCCAGGAAGGCCCAGTGCAGCTTTGCTGGTTCATCTTTGCACACTGTAGCATTTGTTTGTAGAGGCTGGGTTTACGTACCTGCTAATTCTCCCCAGTAGCAGAAGAACATGAAACAAGAAAAATGGTGGGTTGGTAAGGTAAAACTAGGGCAGCTTTTAAAGATGCTTTGGGAGAGCAACAGGGGGAAGAGTGGAAGAAGGGAGTAAAGGTAATACTATGAGCAACAGTCAAGGGAGTATGGAGTAAGAGAGGTGCTGATGGTGGCAGGACAAAACTTACAGCCAGGTCACAGCCCAGAGTGCAGAAATGCAGTAATCACAACTTCTTAAGCTGCACAGCAGTTCTTGAACATGGAAGCAGCCATCCTGTAGTGCTGGAAGAAAACTATTTGATGGTCAAAAAGAACCATAGCATCACAGAATCATGAGGGTTGCAGGATACTACTGATGTCATCTAGTCCAACTGTCAACCCATCCCTACCATGCTCATGAATCATGTCTCTCAGTGCCACACCTGCACAGTTCTTGAACACTTCCACTCCACCACCTCCATGCCTGTTCCAATGCCTGACCACTCTTTCTGAGAAGAAGTCTTTCCTAATATCCAACTTGAAGCGGGCATGCTTTGCAATATAAAACATTGTATTTCTTACATGTCTACATCTTACATTGTTGTATGCCTGGGAGGAAGTAAGCACAGGGCCTACAAAATTAGCTAACGAGGATTTAAATGGCCCTCGTTTTGATGTTGCTCAGTCAATCCCATTCAGTTGTCTCTCATGGATGCAGCAAGAAGAAAGAAACAAAATGTCTCTGTGCATGGGCCACTATTTCTCTTAGCTCAGCAGAACTGATCATTGTTTTTCAGGCAAAAATAACAACCATGGACAAGGTTTGGGGTGATTTAGAAAGCAGTGAAACCACAGAAAATTTCTTTACGATGTCACCAAATCTTGAAATGAAAATCCTCCTGTGCAACTCATGATGATGCAGCAGTCACAGTCACTTCTTAGAGAAGTACACCACCACAGATAATCAGAGAAGTGACCTGTCCAAAGAGTCTTAAAAATGAAGTACTGGGCAGTGAATAGTGACGTGTTTTGACTCACGACCTGCTAGATCACAGACGTCCTCACTGAAAGGTGATGTAGAGAATGAGAAGGATTTATACAAGGAAATAATTCTGAGCCAAATCAGACAGTGACATAAAACTAAAAGAGCAGAAGGTTGGATGTTTTATAATATTCTTCAGAATCCAGGGGTGAAAATAAATCCATATATCTTCCTGCAGCTTATTATACACTCATTTAAAAGTAATGCAAAGGTCAGACCTCAGTTTTTACATTTCTGCCCCATCTTAGGGAAGACATGCTCAGAGCTCTGCAAAGAGCTAAGTTTTGAAAAATAGAAGGCAAAGTGATTTTAGTAAAACACTGGCAATATATTCCAACTGAGTTTCTGAAATTAATTTCCAACACATGAAACACAGTTGTCATATGTGGTTCCCTCAGGAAAAATATCTACCAGCCTTGCGTCTGACCTCATAGGCCAAGATGTTCAAGGCTGGCCTCCATTAGTGTTGCAGTTTTTCATGCACAATTAATTTAGGAAAGATACTTCCCCTGATTTGTGGACAAGATCAAGCATTCAAGTAAGCAGCAGTGTGAACACCAATGCATAGTTACCTACCCCATGAAAAAACACACAGAAAATCAGTTAAGGTGGATTTCCAGGTCTCTGAGGAAATACCATATTTCTTTTCATATACATTCAGAATACAGAATTAATACAAAAATGTAGGTAATTCTGCTTAATTCCCAGAATTTTTAGACAGGTTTTCAAGACTAATAATAATAATTAATAATATCCATATTGTTGCTGCTACTGCTAATGTTGTTAGTATTGTTATTGCTTCTTTAATTTCAAGATTCACGCCTTTCAGTGAAATTTAATGACGATTCTCCCTCCCTCTGCAGCTACAATATTTACCTAAGCACGATACACCTCTTGCTACAGTCTGTACTCAATTATCATAAGTTGATTTTATAACTGCATCTCAGCTGAAGATGTAATTACACTGTCTTCTCTAATAAGTCATAAAATCTTAGAGAAAATAGTGCTGCAAGACACCTTGAGGTGTCAGCTTGACTGTTTCCCCTTCACAAGGCAGGAGCAATTAGAGAAATCTTACTTGTATCTGGCATTTGTTTAACTTGACCTCTGGATGGGTGTCAAAATAAGACCTCCAGCAACAAGCGAATCCCCAGCACTTGTACAGCATAAAAAAGAAGTGATGGCATTTGGATGATGAAGTGTAATATTCGCAGGCACAGCTACCACGTTGACGTTGGCGCTGAACGGCCATCTCGTTTTGATAAGCTTAATAAGACTGGAGATTAATGTAGCAATTAATAAATGTAACAGTGGAAGATTCACAGTGAAGAGTGATTAAATTTCAAGCAAACAGCTATGATAATAATTTTCTTCACGAGTCCTTAGTTGGGGACATAGAGCATATGATCTGGCGGTTACAACAGATGATGTTACTGCAGGCAGCTTCCCTATGGCATCTAGTGATAGCATCTTTGCGCTCGTCTCTGGATAAGTATCTTTTGGAATAAAGCTTCGTAATGCAAAACTCCCAGTTTGCACCTAGGCAATGGCTCTCAATGGCTCTCTTCTCAGTCATGCTGCATGAAGCAGAAGGGCAGATCTGAAGTTGCAAGGGCAGCTACAAAGGTTTGTCCAGGGTTTGTCCAGCCATGTCTGAAGGTACTTCAAGCAAGAGCTTCTAGCAACAAAAAACCATGAAGGGTCTTGATCAGCTGTTCATCTCAAATGTTTCTGAATCAGCTGGACACTGCCATGCCACATCAGGGCAATATCTGTGATGGATGTGGGATTGGCAATCCTTGAGCACGTATTTGTTCCAGAAATGCTAATTCACTCTGTGGGCTAAAGAAAGAGCTGGGAAGGGACCTTAGTTCCTGCAAGAGCTTCCAGCACTTTGTAAGCCTGCTCTGGATGGAAATGCCAAAGTAATGGACATTTATTCTGAGGAGAAAGAGAAGTAGAGAAGAAGAAAGCACTCAGGTCCGAATTCAACAGCAGGAACCTTGATTCCACTCACCACAAAACATAATACATATATTTCTTCTAATTTTATTCCTATGAGGTAGTGAAGCTTTCTCACTGTGTATTAATGTGTAGGCATTATTTAAATTAATTTTCCCAAATGCCATTTTTTTCGCTCCATAAATGTACAAGTGGCTGTTGCTCTCACACTCCAAAGCAATACACCTGACAGCTTTATTTTACTGGGGTATTGTTGAGGTCCTGATGTTTTAGGTGCAGATTGCTCTCTTACACAACTGTACTTCCCCACACACAAGGGTGAAGGACCTGATTCTGGTCCTTCTGCTGACAACACATCAGAGAGTCCATGGGATCTTTTCATGTGTATCAGCAGGTTGAATAGAATGTACAACCTTTCTCAGGCAAGTGTGCACACAGAGAGAGTGCTAGGGAGATATTCTCTCCAAGGCAATTTGCATTATCTCCACCAACAGATGAGTACTTTTTCAGGAGGTGAAAGTGTTACTACCACCCTTGCAGACCCATCATTGAGACGCTGAGAGCCTGCAGAAGTCAGAAGCTGTGTTTCCACTGCTGCAGGGTGAAATCACACATATTGCTGGGGAAGAGTGTGTTGGATGAGATCACCTCAAAATGCAGTGCTCATCTCAGGTTGCATGTAAAAGTTATGTTTCAGTTAATAGCTGGAATGACCATTGAATATCTGAACTGTGTCACTGAAGGACGTGGTTAGCGGGCACAGCGGTGACGGGTTGATGGCTTGACTAGATGATCTTGGAGATCTTTTCCAATCTTAACGATTCTGTGATTCTGTGTTAATCTTTAAGGTGCTCAAGGCCATGGTTGGATGGGGGCCCTGGGCAGCCTGAGCTGGTGGGTGGCAAACCTGCCCATGAGCAGAAGTTGGAGCTCTAGCACCTTTAAGGACCTAAGTCATTCCATGATTCTATGAATTTAGGAGCTTGGAGCCAGTCAAGCTGTCAGGTGTCCCCTGGGATAAGCAATTGGAGGGGAAGAAGAGGCATGGAAAGTGGAGAAGAATCTGGAAATTTAACCACAATCTGCTGAATGCTGCATCCAATGTTAGGGGATACAATTTTCTGTTGTGATTCCTCTGAAACCCAATACAGCATGTTTCAAAGCTTTATTTCTCTTCTGGGAATGGAGCTGCTATTGCACAGGCATCTCAGAATTGTTCTGGGGGAGCTTTTTTTTTTTCCTTTTTTTCTTCTTCTTTTCTTCAAGTCCTTTAATAAGAAACAGCTTTCTGTTTCAATTTACAATTGTTAAGCTTCTGTGTCTATGTGTGTGTGCATGTCTCTGTGTGA